GTCTAGTGGTTGTTTTTTTTCAGAAGCCAAACTAGTTCATAAATCCAAACAAAGGTAAGAGCTTGTTCCAAAGCTAGGTAAGCATTGCAGTCTAGTCATGTTCTAAACTTTTTAAAAAATCCATTTTTAAATTATGTGTATGAGTGTTTTGCTTGCATAAGTGTACCTATGTCATGCAATGTCCGTGGAGGCCAGAAGAGGGTGTCAGATCCCCCTGAACTAGTCATGAATGGTTGTTAGCCACCACGTGAATGCTGGAGCTGGATCCAGGTCCTCTGGAAGAACAGCCAGTGCTCTAAACTACTGAGTCATCTCCCCAGTTCCTAAAGTCAGGTTTTGAGGCCAGGGGTGTCCTCAGAAAGCTTTTCTGCTTGTTCTTCTGGTAGCACCAGCTTGGATCTGGTCACCTTCAATGCTGACTGCGTTTTGAGGGCTAGAGCATAGGCTTCATTCCTCTGGGAAGCACACCAGCTCCTTCTCCTAGAAGCTCAAAGGTGCTAAGCATCAGCTTGGCTCCCTTTCTCTCTCCTTCCCTCCCTTTCTGTGGCAGAAATCTCAGACAGAGCTGAGCTAGAGAGAGCTGAACATTTGGTGATGAGTGTGAAAGATGGTTTCACAGGCAAAGACATGTAGCGTCTTCATAGGGAGTCCTGGGGGCTGATTGGCAACCACTCCTTCTTCCACTCCTCAGATAACTTGGTTTTCCCTACATCTTCTAAATTGGGCCTTCACTGAATGTTCAGTACTCAATAAGGGAATTATTCTGTGGAAAAAATAAATGGAGAAGTCAGGCTGAGGGAGAGAGCGCTACTGATCTGGAGGGATGGTAGAGCCTAACAGGGCAGTGACTCCTGTTATCCTGAGTGTTTACAACCCAGAAGCTTGTTGTTTGAAAGCTGGTGGAGTCCTGGGAAGTTCCCTGGTGGCTGAAGAACCAAACACTGTTCTAGGAGCTTTTAGTCCTTAGAGCTCAGAGTTTGGAGACTGGCTGGAGTCTAGTCTGAACTTTACTCCTTAGCATTCCTGACTCTAGTATGAGTGCAAGGGGCACGGAACACAGATCCTTCATTTTCAGGTCATCCCCCGGGGAAGGGGAACTGTATTAGTCAGACCTGAGAACAAGGTAAAGGGAGCAAAAATTTATTTTGGTTCCCAGTTGCAGTTTACAGCTTGCTCTGTTGCTGTGTGCCCTCAGCGGGAGACAGAACAACATGGTGGCAAAGCACATAGTAGAGCTAAGTTGCTCACATCAGGGAGGTCAGGAAGCCAAGAAAGTATTATAGAAAAGGACTAGGGACAAAGTATATCTTTCTAGGGCACACCCAAGTGATTCGCTTATCTGAACTGAGCCCCACCTTCCACAATTCTTCCACTTCCCAACAGTCTTCATTTATTCTTCTCTTTTTAGTTTTTCTTTCTGTTTTAAAATTCGTATTATTGGGGCTGGAGAGATGGCTCAGCAGTTGAGAGAGCACTGACTGCTCTTGCAGAGGACTGGGTTCAATTCCCAGCACCCACATGGCAGCTACAGATCGTCCTTAACTCCAATTCCAGGGGAATCCAAAGCCGGCTTCTGAGCTCCAAGGCATTGCATAACATGGGCGCATTCACATACATGTAGGCAATACACTCATACACATAAAAAAAAAAAAAAGAAAATATTTTAAAAAATAAAATAAAAATCCTTTTATTTATTTTCTATTAGTTTTTTGTTTGTTTGTTTGTTTTGTTTTGGTCTTTTTGAGACTGGGTCTCCCTGTAGCCCCAGCTAGCCTGGAACTCACTATGTAGACCAGGCTGGCCTTGAACTCACAGAGATCTGCCTGCCTCTGCCTCCCAAGTGCTGGGATTAAAGGTGTGCGCCTCCATGCCCGGTTTCTCTTCACCTTTTTCTTTTAGGTGTGAACTAGAGTAACAGGAAGATGATTTTCAAGGTCTCTTCTACCTCCAACATTCAGGGACACTCAGGACTTTATCAAGGGAAAAGCAGTGTGCTGATACATGTATAGAGGGGTGGAGAGCATATAAAATATTAAGATGTGGTGGTCATCCTTAAGGAGTTTGTAGGTGCTTGGTGTTTCTTTTCCTTTTTTTATGTGTATGAGTGTATTGCCTGCATGTACGTAAGTGCAATGCAGGGAGTTCAGAAGAGGGTATTACATTCCTTTGTAATTGGAATTACAGATGGTTGTTAGCCACCATGTGGGTGTGGGAATCAAACCCGGGTCTTCTGCAGGAGCAGCCAGTGCTCTTAACTACTGAGCTATCTCTCCAGCCCCTCTTGTTTTGTTTTTTGAGACAGGGTCTCCCTGTAGCCACAGCTGGCCTGGAACTTGCTATGTAGACCAGGCTGGCTTTGATTTCACAGAGATCACCTACCTTTACCCTCCAAGTGCTGGAACTAAAGATGAGCACCACCACACCTGGCAAGGAGTTTGTGGATGTAATGACACGTGTAAAAAATTCTGAAGAAGATAGAGAGCAGCTGAGGAAGATGCCCAGTGTCAACCCCTGGCCTCCTTATGCGTGTGCACACATGTGCCACACACACATAGACATATACACACACCCCACAAGCACACAAACACACACACAGTTCTGAAAAAGACTGAGCATGGTGGCACACACCTGCAACCCTCAGGAGGCTGAGGCAGGAGGATCACCAATTCCAGATTAACCTAGTCTACATAACAAACCCTATCTGAAAAAATAAAATAAACAAAAAGGACTCTGATGTTCCAAGGTATACATCCTGTAAGTGAAGCATAAAGGTACTGAGTTCACCAAAATCCAGAGGAGAGGGATTCCTTCTCAGGACTGAGGGACTTGGAGAAGGGAATAGGTGGGTTCCTCAGCTCTTTCCTAGGGCTGGTGGCGCAGATGCTCTTGGCCTCTTGCCCAAAGAATTCTAGCCACTTGGAGGAATTCAGGTGTACTGTAATCTCAGGACTCAAGAGGCTGAGGTAGGAGGATTGGGAGTTTCATGCCAGCTGGGCTACATAGTGAGACTATGCCTCCAATAAATACAGAAAAACAACAGAGAGAGAGAGAGAGAGAGAGAGAGAGAGAGAGAGAGAGAGAGAGAGAGAGAGAACAAAAAAGAATTCTAGTTTTCTAGCTATCGGCTTAGCTTCCATTCTGGGAGCCAGACATCCCCTACTAGGCATCCTGGGGAGGGGAGCCTGGCCAGGTGCTCCCAGGTCTCCTCATTAAATATTTTGTCTTCTTGGTCACACTGTTAATATTTGTGACTATAACATTATTACTATTTATGCTCACTTATGATTAACCCCTGGCAACAATACTAGGTCCTGCACATGCCTCATTTCTTTTATTTCTCAGAGCAGTGCTTTATGTGGGTATGCATATGATTATTACCCTGGTTCATGGATGGGGAAACTGAAAATGAGGCATGACACAGTAGAAGTCTAGGACAAACCCAAAGAGAGAGATACTTGAATTCAGACTTCCAAGGGAATCTTCCTCTTACACTTCCTACTCCTTGCAGAAATGGAAGATCATAATTAGGTGAGAGGGCAGGAGAAGAAAGGAATATGGTAGGAGCCACTTTGGGGATATGGATTGGGGCTGAGAGCTAATGTTCAGGATGAAGAACCCTGAGAGGGTCTGGACATCAGATTAGGATGACCAAAGCAACATGAGAGATGAGGGAGAAATTTCTGAGACTCTTCTCAGCTTTCTGGGGGATTGTGCCCAAGAGCCCTGAAGGTCAATTCTAGCTGTGCAGCACTGGGTCCTATGAACTTGTGTGTGCAGATTTTAGGTTTTGTTTTCTCCCACTAACTGCTCCAAAAGTCAATTTCATCTTCTCCCAGCTCAGAGGAGGCAGGTGGTAGGTGCTATGGTTAGACTGCAGATGAAGCCATTGCATAGCTTCAGTCCTGGTTTCTCACCCACTTTGTTATTGTTTGGCTTTTATTTTACTTTTTGTCTTTTTGAGACAGAGTCCCAGCTGGCCTGGAACTCCCTATGTAGACCAGGCTGGCCCAAATCTCATATTCACCTGCCTCTACTTTCAAAGTGCTGGGATTAAAGGCATGCACTCCCATGATCAGTTTATTGTCAACTTTTTAAGTATTGGTCTGTTCTCTGTTTGCTATCAAGGACAAGGATTCCTATGATTAATCTACACCTTAGTGCTAGGTCAGTGCCTACCTCATGTTAAATGTTCATGAAATGGTTAAACCAGAATAAACTAAGAGACCATGACCTGGGCAGGAGAAATAGGTCCTGTTAGGCAGATACTTAAACTACTCATTGGGGTTGAGAGACACAGTGACTATGATCCATCCCTTTCCAGAATGTCAGCAAGGAGCCTACAGTTTGCTTTATCCTTAGAGGATGAGTTTGAGGAGTCGGGGAATTTGTGGGTAGAGGGGAGCACTAGCCTTGTGAGCACGACAGAGAGCAAGGTTTTGGACTCTGCAGTCAAATCAGGTTCTTAATTTGCAAAATGGGAATATAAAGAGCAGTGTTCTACTGAAGCAAAATAGCAACAACTCATGTTTACAGAGCACTTTCAGGTAGACAGGTATCAGGTAAGAAGTATGTCCACATACCAGCCTGAGAGGCTTTATGACTTGCCCAAGATACAAATAAAAGGCATAGATTTGAGCCCAAGTGTCCGAATTAAACTGCTGAGGGATGGGAAAGTGACCCGGCGGGGTAAAAAAGCTGTTCAAAGGATGAAGGTCATTTCATCATGCCAAGGGGCTTAGGGATCTCCGCAGAGGTAGAGAGCACTGGGAATCTGCCACACTGGGCAACATGCGGGCCGCAAAGGCTCCTCCGCCCTCAGTGCTTACGTGCGCTCCGTGACCAACGGGGAGCACGTGGGGACCGCGACAGATGACGCATGCGCAATGGCGCCCCGGCACAAGACACCCCCCCCCTCGCCCCTAGGTGGCTGCAGAGCTAGCATGGAGCGCATGCGTACATCCGGAGGGCGGAGAGCTCTCAACAGGGAGTGGAAAGATTTCAGCCAGAAAGTGCGCCGGAGCTAAGGGTGAGCGTGAGTGCGCATGCGCGTCGGGGGTGTGTGGGGAGTACTGCAGCCGGAATCTCAGCAAGCTTCAGTGTTCGCTGCATCCCTATCCTCTCGCCATGGCCGCCTATAAGCTGGTGCTGATCCGGCACGGAGAGAGCGCCTGGAACCTGGAAAACCGCTTCAGCGGCTGGTACGACGCCGACCTGAGCCCGGCAGGCCATGAGGAGGCGAAGCGCGGCGGGCAGGCGCTGCGAGGTACGCGCCGTTCGGGGTACGGAGGGCCCGGCGCCGGCCTCCAGGCCGCCCGCTGCTCCCGCGCCCTTTCCGGGAGGCTTAGCCCGGTGGGCAGCCTCTCTGGTTTTGTATGCGGCTGGAGACTGTACCAGGGTGGGGAGTCCCCTTGTCAAGGTCACCCAGTTGGAGTTGGGGTGGGGGGCTGCGCCAGGAAGTGGACGCAGGGAGGTCGCCTCGCAGGCTTAGTGCAAACCTCCCATTCTGGTCAGAGCAACTCGGGCAGAGGTTACCCTGATGGAGCCACCTGTAGCGGCCAGCGCTTTTAGGGTACCCCGAGGGCCTGGGGCCGCTGGCGGAAGATGCCCCGTGACTTCTCAAGAGGCAGTTCCGGATCCCCGCGAAGCGGTAGGCCCCAGGCTTGTCCTGAGCAGCGGAGTGAGTGAGGCGAAGTCGTGCGGGGGCGGGTGGGTGGAGGGGGCGATGGGCTTCAAGACTCCGGCAAACCTTGTGTGTGTCTGCAGACTCCTGTATCCACAGGAGTGAAATGTGAGTTTGATAAAGCAGGCAGATTTTATTTCCCTCCTTTCCATTCCTCCCTGGCCTCCTTCTATAGTTCTGAAAAATGACTGGAAAGATTTGTCCAAAGTGTATCTACTTAGTTCTAATCCCGGTTCTGGATGGAGTAACAGGTAGGTGTGAGAAACTGGCGGCGGTTAGCCAAGGACAGAGGCTGGGCAAAGGGTGGAAGTGACCAACAGATGATGCTTGCTTGTGCCTATCCACGCCTGGCGCCCCTCTCCCCGCCCCGCCATGATTTTGGAAAGCTAATAAGAATATCCTGCTGCCTGCCATGCCTGTTGGCATGGTCTTGGTATTTGGGTCCGGGTTGCTTTCCCTAGCTTCACTGTACATCCTTTTCAGGTGAAGTAGATAGAGCTTTGGTTTGGAAGTGTAATCCTGATGGAGGGGCTGTTGTGAAACTCACACTATATAGTGATGGTAAAGGAAGCCATTTTCTTTAGTTCTCTGGCATGAAGAGCTGTATAGGTCTGTGGTGGTTTGCTGGTGCCTAGCTCAGAACAAAGTCAACTGCCTTTGTAAGATGATTATATGCTGACCTTGTAGTCACTGTCAAATAATAGATCTCATTTCAGTCCTAAATATGAAGTTTTTAAAAAAAATCAGAAGACTGCATATGTTCCTGCACACTCTAATTCCAGCGCTCAGAAAGCCAAGATGGTAGGATCAAGAGTTCAAGGCCAACTTGGGCTGCATAGCAAGACACTCTCAAAAAGAAAAATCACATGTAAAATCTTAGTATCTATTATAGGTTTCATAAATAATTAAAAGATGAAAGACAAAGCAAAAACTAAGCAATGATTATTAGGAATAATGTAATGTTAACCTAAAAGATGGAAAGTTTGACCAGTGCTTCACTTGATAGGATTTATACAGCCATGAATCTGATCTCAGAAGGAGGCTAATGAGAACTATTCCTCCTTGCAACCTTAAGGTTGAAGAAGGGGTGCAGGGATGGAATCCCACAGGGAGAATGAAGACCAGACTTAATGTCCATTCTAACCCTGGCTACTCCTTGGTTTAAATCTCAGGCTAACGGAAGAGACTTTGTGTTTCTGATTCTTTACCTGGCTCTGTTCAGCACGAGGGGGGGCATTGCAAGTGGAAATAATTGCAGTGAAAGAGCCTGTAGCTTTTCATCCTGGGTGCTGAGGCTTGTACTGTGGGTATTCTCTTCTCCAGTGACTCAGCCTTTTGTTGGGGAGCCATTTCTGGGCTGAAGGTAAAGGAAGTGATGGTAGTCTGCGCTCATTGGTCTTGTCCAGAGGCTCAGTGGTGAGCTCTGTCTTTTCTCTTGGGGGGGGGTTTTCCTGGCGGTTAATCTCCTCTCCACCCAATAGTTGGTTCCTAGTGGCTGCATTGTCAGTTGAATGACTGGTAGGAAAATTCACTTCACCTTTCATTAATTACTGTTGCTGACTCAATATGAAGCAATACCTAGGAAAGTTTGTGCTGAATTTTGAAGAGGGCCTTGTGTGGTGGAGAAAACAGAAGTGTTTCTTGGCATACTTCATAAGGGAAGGGCCATCTCCCTATTCAGTTTTTTTTTTTTTTTTCAAATCTTCCTATGTAGCCGAAGCTGACCTTGAACTCAAGATCCCCCACCTCCTCTCTTGAGTGCTGGAATTATAGGTGTTGATCCATATCCAGGTGCTTTGCTCAGAATAATCTTTTGAGAAACAGTAAGATTGATTGGTTGTAACCTGTTGACTGGGCCAACAGAACTCTTCATTAACACTCTGCTGCCTAACCCCAAACTCTTGTGTATGGAGGAGGAGGAGAAATCGGAGAAACTCCTTTAAAATGGAATCAGACAGTGTACAACACTTGTTCTTTCTTTAGTGAATGGCTTCTAGATTTGGTGTAACATGTAAGTAGGTATATTCCTCTGAGGAAATAGGCTAGCACGTTGACTATAGTGAAGAAGAATGGATTAAGAGTTTCTATACTCCATAATGAAAATAAAACTTCATGTAACAAAATTTTATCAGCATTCTCCAGGAGCTTTTGTGTTGAGATTTTAAAGTCCAGTTTTCCAAGACCCAGAGGTCTAAAGACGTAAGTATCAGAAATGACAATTCTAACTAAAGTACAAACACCAGGGGCTGAGAGAGGAGGATTGAGTTCTCAGGCCATCCTGGGTACATGTCTCTCTCTCAAAAAAAAACAAAAACAAAATTAAGATCCTTAGGAGTCAGAGAAATGGATGGTAGAGATGGTAGTTAAGAGTTGGATTTCAGAGGGCCAGGAGAGATGGCTTAGTGGTTAAGAGTGCTTGCTGCTCTTCCATAAGACCCGAGTTTGGCTCCCACCATTTATTACAGGGCTGCTGTTCACAACTGCCTGTAACTCCTGCTTCACGATCTGATGCTCTCCTGCATGCACATATACACAGACATACACATAATTTTTTTTTTTTGTCTTTTTGAGACAGGGTCTCCCTGTAGCCCCAGTTGTCCTGGAACTCACTATGTAGACCAGGCTGGCCTTGAACTCAAGAGATCCACCTGCCCCTGCCTCCCCAGTGCTGGGACTAAAGGTATGCGCCACCATGCCCGGCATTTTTTTTTTTTTAAAAGAGATTCGAGGACATGGCTCAGTGGGGTAAGGTGACAACTTGAGTTTGAGCCCCAGGACTCACATGGAGAGCTAGCTCCTAAAAATTGTCCTTTGATCTCTACATAAGTGCCTGGGTGTGTGCATATACCACCAACCACACACAAAAAACTGGGTATGGATGGTGGCCCACGTCTCTAATCTCAGTAGTCTGGAAGCAGAGATAGACAGATCTCTATGAGTTGGAGGCCAGCCCAGTCTACATAGTGAGAACCTGTCTCAAAAAAACCAAAACATATTTTTTTTTTTTAAATGGGGCTGGTGGTGTCGTGGTGTACACCTTTAATCCCAGCAGAGGCAGAGGCAGAGGCAGGTGAATCTCTGTGAGACTGTCTCAAATGATTTCAGTCACAGTGTCTACAGATTTTGTTTTGTTTTTTGATTTGTGGTGCTAGTGAATTGAACCTAGGGCCTCACATATGCCAGGTAAGTGCTCTGCCACTGAGCTACATCCCTAGCTTCACAATGCCTAGGTTTTGATCTCAAATAATGGCTGTGATTTTATGATTTAGCTCTGCATATCTTTATTTTCCTAATCTGGTAAAAATGTGTTAAAAGGATTATAACCTGGTAGGATTTTTGTGAAGACGAATTAAATCATACAAGGTATTTAGTTCAATGCTTGAGCAGTGATAAGCCTGATAGAAATATGTTTGTGCCACATAGTGCATGTGTGAAAGTCAGAGGGCGACTTGGGGGAGTTAATCTCTCCTTCTACTATATAGGTTCCAGGGATCAAACTCAAGTCATCTGGCTTGATGGCAAGCATCTTTACCCACTGAGCCATATTAATGGCTTAGTATCCTGTTTCTCTTGCGTATTGAAACAAAATCTTGAAATGTGCTTAAGTATAACATTCTGGGGGATTAGAATAATCACAGGCCTCAGGTTGGCTAGTTAACACTTTATTTAGGCCTTGGTATAGATGAAAAATAGGGAACTACTAGAAGGTACACTGTTCTCTAACAAGAATCAACAAATTTTGTCTTCAAAGGTAGAATGTTTATTGCAAGGATAATAAAATACTTTGCCAAATATCTTTATTTGGTCTACCTATACATGAAATTTATGTGTAAAAGAATCATGGCTTAGATTGGACCTCATTAGCTTCTCATTTTGCATTTATGATTTTTAGATGCTGGCTATGAATTTGACATCTGCTTCACCTCAGTGCAGAAGAGAGCAATCCGGACCCTCTGGACAGTGCTGGATGCCATTGACCAGATGTGGCTGCCAGTGGTGAGGACCTGGCGCCTCAATGAGCGGCACTATGGGGGTCTGACTGGCCTCAATAAAGCAGAAACTGCCTCCAAGCACGGTGAGGCACAGGTAAAGATCTGGAGGCGCTCCTATGACGTCCCACCACCTCCCATGGAGCCGGATCATCCCTTCTACAGCAACATCAGTAAGGTACAGGCAAAACCAGGTTGGTTAGAATCTGGGGTTCACTTTAACTTTATTAGTGTCTACCTATTGCCTTTAAGTTTATAATTTATAATAAAATAGTTAACATAATCCTCCCTTTGCTGAGGAATGACCTTCACTTGTTAAAAGATTTTAGTTGAAAGTTTATATTGTGTATCTGAGATTTCTTTTTTCACATTTCCATATTTTATTTCTGCCTTCTTTTTCTTTTTTGGTGTGTCCCTCCCCGCCCCCAAGCTGAGGACCAAACCCAGGGCCTTGCGCTTGCTAGGCAAGCAGTCTACCACTGAGCTAAATCCCCAACCCCGCCACATTTTATTTTAAAAAACTACCTATAGGGCTAGAGAGGTGGCTCAGCAGTTAAGAGCACTGACTGCTCTTGCAGAGGACCTGGGTTCAATTCCCAGCATGCACGTGGCAGCTACAAACTGTCCTTAACTCCAGTTCCAGGGGAATCCGACACCTTCTGACCTCCGTGGCATTGCACAACACGGGTGCACTCACGCACATGCAGGCAATACACTCATACACATAAAATGAAAATAATAAATAAAAATAATTTAAAAAAACAACACATAGAGGGGCTGGAGAGATGGATGGCTCAGCAGTTAAGAACATTGACTGTTCTTGCAGAAGACCCAGGTTTGAATCCCATCACCCACATGGCAGCTAACAACTGTCTGTAACTCAGTTCCAGGGGACCCAACAGCCTCTTCTGTTCTCTGCAGGTATTGCACGACACAGGTGCACTTGCATACATGCAGGCAATACATGCATACACATAAAACAAAATAGTAAAGTATTTTTAAAAAATCACCTATAGCATTCCTAAATTAACTGCAAACTAAAGTGATTGGGAAGAGAATTGTTTGGTATAACTGCCCCTTTTCCAAGTTACATTTCTTTTAGACTGGGCAATGGGGCAAGGAGAGGCAGCATAATCACGGATTATTTCACAAGTTCTCAGCTGTATTCTGGACCCAAGAGAGATCTTCACTTGTCATTTACCCCTTAAGAATTAATAAATGGGAGCTGGAGAGATGGCTCAGTGGTTAAGAGCACTGACTGCCCTTCGGGGGATCTGGGTTTGGCCCCACATATTGGCTGTCCTGGTTTGTTTCTCCATTGCTGTGACAAAACACTCTGACCACTACCAACTTGGGGAAGAAAAGGTTTACTCAGTTTACATCTCCCGGGTCACAGTTCATTAGGGAGCCCAAGGTAGGAACTCAGGGCAGGAACCTGGAAGCAGGAGCTGGAGCACAGGCCATGGAGGATCACTGCCTACTGACTTGCTCCCCTGGCCCTTGCTCAGCCTGCTTTTGTATGTAACATAGGCCCACCTGCCCAGGGGTGGCACCACCCACAGTGGGCTGGGCCCTCTGACATCATTCAACAATCAAGAAGATGCTCCATGGACATGGCCACAGGCCAGTCCAATGAAGGCAATTCCCCGATTGAGGCTCCCTCAACCCAGGTGTGTCAAGTTGACACTAAAGCTATCCAGTACATTGGCTAATAACTATAACTTCAGTTCCAAGGGATCTGGTGCCTTCTGGCCTCTGTGGGCATCCTGGTGGACTTACATACATGCAGGCAAAATACTCATACCCATAAAATAAAAATAAATTTAAGCTGAGCATGTCTTTAATCTCAGCTCTTGGGAGGCAGAGGCAGCCTGGTCTACGTAGTGAGTTCCAGACCAGCTGGGGCTACCAGGGAGACCCTTTCTTAACAAAATCCCCCAAAAGTTGAGAAAGGGCAGAATTGAAATTGAAATACCATGAAACCCATTTAATAGATGTAGCTACTAGTAACTGACAAACTTCTTCTTGCTTAGGATCGCAGGTATGCAGACCTTACTGAGGATCAGCTACCCTCCTGTGAGAGTCTGAAGGACACTATTGCCAGAGCACTGCCCTTTTGGAATGAAGAAATTGTCCCCCAGATCAAGGAGGGTAAAAGGGTCCTGATTGCAGCCCATGGCAACAGCCTTCGGGGCATTGTCAAGCATCTAGAGGGTATGTGCATGTTTTAGAGGGGTCCTTAGGATAAAGCAGAACTGTTACCAATCAGGGACTTACTTTGTACAAAGGAGGCTTTTGGGAAAGGTGTGACAGTATAGGTGCACTCTTTGTGGGAAAATTCTGCTTCCTTTCTCAGAATGATCTGACAGCTGACTCAAAACTGTAATCCCAGCACTAGGGAGGGTGAAGCAGGTGGATCATTGGGGGTTCAGAGCCACCCCAGGCTACAGTGAGAACCTGTCTCAAAAAATAATACATACATGGGGTTGGAGAGATGGCTCAATGGTTAAGAGTACTGGCTGTTCTTCCAGAGGACCTGGGTTCAGTTCCCAGCACCCACATGGCAGCTCATAGCCTTCCTTAACTCCATTTCCAGGGCATCTCAGTTGTGGCCTTTTGTGTGCAGCACACTCTTTTGTATGAGGAAACATCACTGGTGAGAGTTGAGGAATGCACGAGTGTTCTCTCTACCTTCTTTCCCACCATGTTCCATGAGCCTTAGATATACAGTTACCCCTGTGGATGTGTCACTTAGGACTTGCCATCTCTCAGACAAGTATTCTCTGTGTGTGACCAGCTGTGGAACTCTGTAATAGTCTCTCTCTGTTGGAAAGAAGTTTCTTGGATGAGTGATGAGATTCATACTTAGCATATGTTAAGAAATTTCATTTGTCTAGAGATATCTCAAAAATAGGGTTTTCCATAGGATCTATGACCTCTCCAGCCAGGTGTATTTGGCTATATTTACAGTGGCCACCCATGAGCTCCCTCCCCTTGAGAGGACTTTATTTCCAATTAGATAGCTGTTGATTAGCCCCAAGGGCATGGTGTCACTCGCCTTTAATCCCAGCACTCAGGAGGCAGAGGCCAGTTCAAGCCCAACCTGCTCTACATAGTGAGTTCCAGGATAGCTGGGGCTACAGGGAGACCCTGTCTCAAAAATACCAAAAAAAAAAAAAACCCTCAAAATCCAGCAAACAATAAAAGGTAGTTTACAGAGCAGCATCCCTGGACCTCTGACAGTTTCTTATACATGTAGAACCATATTCAGTTTAGAACTGGTATCTATCAAGTGGCATCAAAGTTGTAGATGCTTACCTACTTCCAGGATTGTCTGTTGAAACTGCTGGTAAAGTCTTGCAGTTACAACCTGACTCAATATAAATCTCAGTTTGAATCTTTTTCTTCCTGAGGATATAGAGGCCTCAAATGGCTGATTTTGGCTGGAATGGACTGTAGAACCTCTTGAGGTACACAGTCTTGCTTCACTGGCATCTACATCCCACTTTGGTTGGGATATCTGTAGTGTGCACCTTAATGCAGTTTGTTGGTGGTCCATCATAAACTCTTATGTGCTCTTCTGTATTGTTAAGTGGCTTGAGGAGTTGTAATTGGGGACCATTCTTAGAGGAATGGATCTACTATTACACTAGAACCAAAAGGGTGTATTATTTTATTCCTGCTGAAGTGTTTTGTCCCTGGGAGATGAAGAGTAACCTGGAGGGCTGATGTGGATTCATGTCTTGTGTGACTGAACATGGTGGCTCTTTTCAGGTCTCTCTGAAGAGGCCATCATGGAGCTGAACCTGCCAACTGGTATTCCCATTGTCTATGAATTAGACAAGAACTTGAAGCCCATCAAGCCCATGCAGTTCCTGGGAGATGAAGAGACCGTGCGTAAAGCCATGGAGGCTGTAGCTGCTCAGGGCAAGGTCAAGAAGTAAAGGCAAGCAGGCAGGACTACCAACCCAAGAACACCCTCCCTACCTGTTCATGCCTCCTGCACCTTTCCCCAACACTTGTCACACTGACTACATCTTTAGGGTCTTAAGTTTTAGCTGCAGGTGGGGACCAGTGGCTCCCATTTCCATTTTAGTATTTTATCCCTGCACCCACTCCCTTCATAGACTCCTGTCAGAATGGCACCTCTGGGGTGCAGGTTCTTGGTCCAAGCCCAGGGAAGGCTCCTCTTAGCCAGGAGAGTTGAGAGGTAGTCATTATAGTTTTTTTTAGTGCTTTGTTTACTAAGGGCCTACTTGGGAAGAGGCTAGGGAGGATCCATGCTCTGGTATGACCAATGAGGAGAAGTCAGAGTCTAATTTTGTCCCTGGAGCCTGTCCTGTGCTCTTCTGCAGTAGGGTAACTGGGAACTGTAGTCATTCCAGTGGAAGATGAATATAACCTGCATGGTGACTAAAAAGAAACAACAGTTTTCTCCCTGACCCTAGAGGCACTGGCCCAAGAAGGTTAGGATCAGTCCTGAATCAAGTTTATATGTTACATTTACTTTTACAAAAAAAAATTTCATATATATACATATATAAATAATGGTACACAAAAACCTTTCTGAGGTTTCCAGTGGCGATTGAAATAGTCTCACGTGGTCATCAGAAAATAAGCCATTCCTCAATCAAAATGGGATGAATTCCTTGGCCTCAAAGTGGCAGGAGTGTTTCCTACTGTGTATCTTAGGATCCCTCTGCCTTGATCATGTCCAGATGTGTCTTTTAGTGTCTCATGAATCTGATTCCAGTTGTTTGGCCCTACCATGTGGGTTCAGTACTCATTTTGAGCATAACTGTAATCTTTCTCCAGATCAGTATAATAAAGGAGTGATGTGCAATAATTTGTTTGATGTGTCACACCTCTTGTATGAGGAGTCCTTTGCATTCAATTTGAAGTACACAGTGAAAGCTCTTGTCTGACAGAACCATCAAATATTGACAGTATTAGGAGTATTTTTTTTTAAAGTCGTTTTGAGATGGGGGTTTCCCTATAGTCCCAATGGGCCTGGACTGGAACTTGGGACCAGGCTTGCCTTGATCTCCCAGAGATCTGCCTGCCTCAATCTCCTGAGTGCTAGGATTAAAGGCTTGCACTGGTTAGCCCTAGGAGCCTTCAGGAAATTACTGGACCTCCAATATGGCTTCCCCAACTTGGAACACAGTTTCAAAACAAGTGTCCTGGAGAAACGGCTCAGAGGTTAAGAGTGCACAGTACCTGCAGAGGACCTAAGTTTGGTTCTTAGCACCTATGTTGGGCAGTTCACAACTCCCAGCTCCAGGGGATCCAGTAGTCTCCTGCACTTTAGTACACATATAACCACGCAGATACATGCATACACATTTTTTAAAAAAATGCGGAGAACCAGGTGTGGTGGTGCACACCTTTAATCCCACCACTCTGGAGGCAGAGGCAGGTTGATCTCTGAGATTGAGGCTAGCCTGGTCTACATAGTAAGTACCAGGCCAGCTGGAGCTACAGGGAGACCCTGTTTCAAAAATGAAAAAATAAAAAACAACCCTGGCTGGCTTCTATCACACAGAGATTTGCCTCTTGAGTGCTGGGACTAAAAGTATCACCTGCCTGGCAAAAGATTTTTTTGGCTGGCTTTAAACTAACAAGAGGTCCACCTGCCTCTTCCTCCCTAGTTCTGGGATTAAAGGCATGCTAAGTCCAGCTTCTGGCAAAACATTTTAACATGTTTCAGTGTTTGCCTGTATTTATGTAGGTACACCATGTGCCTGCAATACCAAGGGAGATCAGAAGATGGAGGTGGATCCCCTGGAATTGGATATAAGGACAGCACGAGTAAGCTGCCATGTGGGTGCTGTGAACTGAACCCTCTGCAAAAGCAGCAAGTGTTCTTAACTGCTGAGCCATCTCTCCAGCCACCAGCCCAGCCCCCAAATTTAAAAAAATCTTGGTTAATTTTTTTTTTTTAAAAGGTAAGTTTTTTAAAAAAGATATTTTTTATGTGTATTCATGTATTGCCTGCATGTAGGTAAGTGCACCCCTGTCGTGCAATGGAATTGGAGTTAATGGACAGTTGTTAGCTGCCATGTGGGTGCTGGGATTTGAACCCAGGTCTTACGCAAGAACAGCCACTGTTCTTAACTGCTGAGCCATCTCTCCAGCCCCTGCCCCTTTAAAAACAAAAACCAAACGGGGCTGGAGAGTTGGCTCAGTGGTTAAGAGCCTGACTGCTCTTGCACAGGACCCTGGTTCGATTCCCAGCACCCACATGGTGGCTACAAACCGTACTTAACTCCAGTTACAGGGGAATCCGAAGCCCTCTTCTGACCTCTGTGGCATTGCACAACACATTTACACTCATGTACATGGAGGTGATACACTCATACACACAAAAATAGTAAAATATTAAAAAAAAAAATACACCAATTTTATTAGCTAGGCATGGTTTGTAGCCAGCCTGGTCAGCATAGCAAGGCCAGGGCTACAGGAGACTGCATCTCAAAACACACACAAAGTATTAGAAAGGCTAGAGAGATGACTCCCTTCTCCCTTGGTTAAGAGCACTGGTTGCTTGGTTCCCATCTCCCACATGGTGGCTAGCAACTGTAATTCCAATTCCAGGGGACCAGGTGCCTTCTGGCCTTCTCAGGCATTGCATAATGTGGGTGTACTTACATACATGTAAAATACACATAAAGTAAATGGGCTGGAGAGATTGCTCAGCACTGACTGCTCTTACAGATGACCCAGGTTCAAATTCCAGTACCCACATGGTGACTAGCAACTGTCTGCAACTCCAGTTCCAGGGGATGTAATGCCCTCTTCTGTCCTCCATGGGCACTGCATAACATGGGTACACTTACATACATGTAGGCATAATGCTAAAAAATCAAACAGGCTGGGCATGGTGGCACACACCTTTAGTCCCAGCACTTGGGAGGCAGAGGTAGGCAGATCTCTTGTGAGTTCAAGGCCAGCCTGGTCTACAAAGTGAGTTCCAGGCCAGCTGGGGCTACTGGGAGACCCTGTCTCAAAAAACTACAGTAGGGGCTGAAGAGATGGCTCAGTGGTTAAGAACACTGGTTGTTCTTACAGAAGACCTGGGTTCAAATCCCAGCACCCACATGGCAGCTAACAACTGTAACTCCAGTTCCAGGGGATCTGACAGCCTCTTCTGTCCTCCACGGGCATTGCATGGGACAGGCGCACTTACCTATATGCAAGCATAACACTTATACACATAAACAAAAAAAAAAACCTAAAAATTTAAAATACAGGCTGGTGAGAAGGCTCAGCAAGTAAACTGCCTGCCACTGGTCTAATGACACAAGTTTGATCCTTAGAATCCAAGGAAAGGAGAGAACTGACGCCACAAAATTGTCCTCTGACTTCTACATGTGTGGCATCACATTATGCATACAATAAATATCACACTGCTTAGGTGAATGTAAAGTTCTCCCAGACTTTGGTGGTGGTGCTTGGGATTGAAACTAGTCTTGTACATACATGCCAGGTAAACACTTTACCTCTGAACTATATCCCTAGCCACTCCTAGTCACTTTTATTTTATTCTTTTTGTCTCCCTTGGTGCTGTAGATAGAACTCACAAAGGCTGTCCCATCAGCTACACTCCCAGCCCTGCCTTTTAATCACTGCCTAGAATTAAAACACTTCTTTGTTTACATTACCTTTTTCCCTGCTAGAATGTAAACTTTGTATGGACAAGATTTGGTCATGTTCCCTTCTTCCATCCTAGTTTTCCGCAACTGGAGGGCAGAAGAGTTGCTCCATGTATCCTTATTGAATGAACGATGTCCAATAAGCACTCACAATTAATGAACAACACATGCTCGAGGTTCTGTTTGACATGGGAAGACTCCTTGGCATGCATTTTAAACCTTTTTTAAAAAATATTTTTTTAAAAACCTTTTTTTAAAAAATATTATTTTAGCTGGGCGTGGTGGCGCATGCCTTTAATCCCAGCACTTGGGAGGCAGAGGCAGGCAGATCTTTGTGAGTTTGAGGCCAGCCTGGTCTACATAGTGAGTTCCAGGACAGGGGGCTACAGAGAGACCCTGTCTCAAAAAAACCAAAAAAGAAAAAACTTTTATGTGTATGAGTGTATTACCTGCATGTATGTAAGTGCACCTGTGTCGTGCAATGCCATGGAGGTCAGAAGAGGGCTTCAGATTCCCCTGGAACTGGACTTAAGGATGATTCGTAGCCTCCATGTGGGTGCTGGGAATTGAACCCGGGTCCTCTGCAAGAGTAGTCAGCACTCTCAACTGCTGAGCCATCTCTTCAGCCCCATGACAGAACCTTTTAAGCCTTACAGTAGACAGACCTGAGTTTGTTGTAGTTTTGTATGATGGAATTGATCAAGTAAAATTTTCTAATCCTTAGCTTATTCTGTAGTGATTGCTACATTCAAAGGCCACCATGAAGTTCAGGAATAAGTAAAATGGATAAAACTGTTGCCAAGAATTTTCATCCATGGCTTATTTCTAGGCTGTATTAGATAAAAATAATAAAAATTGAAGATGTGTATATTCTTATTTTTTACTTTATGAAATAGGGTCTCCCTGTAACTGGGGCTTGGCCTGAATATCTGCCTTTCTCTCTTGAATGCTGGGATTAAAAATGAGCACCACCTTTTTTTTTTTTTTTAAAAAGAGGCTTTTGCTATGTTGCCCAAGGGGTTTTCAGTTCCTAAATTCAAACAGTCCTCTTGCCTCAGCCTCCCAAGTACCATAAGTGCTCTGCACGTTCTGAGCCAATATTCTAGTTTGAGGAATCCATTTTTCAGAAGAATCAGACATGCATAAAGGTAAACAGTATTAATTCAGTATTATTTGTAATAGAAAAACTAGTTTTATCTAGTTTAAAGCCTGGTATTTAGCAGACACCTGATAGAAGGCAATCATATATAACAAATACAATGACAATAAGCATGTTCTGAGCAATGTTAAGTAATGTATCCCTTTCTCAAAGTAATCCTATGAGTTTATTCAAATGGGTAAACACTGAGTTTTTTTTTAGGTGATACTAGGGGTTGAACCCAGAGCCTTCTACATGCTGGAAAAGCATTCTACCACTGATATATACCTCTAGCCCAATACATTATAATTCTGCAAAGTGTTATTAGTTTGAGAAACTAGATAAAATACAAGGAATCAGCCAGGCATGGTGGTACACGCCTTTAATCCCAGCACTTGGGAGGCAGAGGCAGGCGGATCTTTGTGAGTTCAAGGCCAGCCTGGTCTACATAGTGAGTTCCAGGACAGCTGGGGCTACAAGGAAACCCTGTCTCAGAAAGACAAAACAACAACAAAAAACAAAAAAACCCCAAGGAATCGGGGTGGAGAGATGGCTCAGCAGTTAAGGGTACTGGCTACTCTCGCAAAGGACCCATGTTTGGTTCCCAGCACCCATATGGAAGCTAACAACCATTCCTAACAAGTTCCAGAGGATCCAACAGCCTCTTCTGGCTTCTGTGGGCATTGCACGTGTAGGTACACTTACATACATACACACAGAAAAAGAATTTTAAAAGGTAATAGGAATCTTTCTGGTAGTATTTCCAATGGTGGGCATGGTCAATGGTAGGGCACGTGCTTAGTATCTGTGGGGGCGTGAGTTTGACACCCAGCACAGCAAACAAACCCCAAACAAAAGACTGCATGTGGCCCTTAACAGTTCTATAAAAAATACTTTAGGCCTGGCATGGTGGTGCATGCCTTTAGTCCTACCACTCAGGAGGCAGAGGCAGGCAGATCCCTGTGAGTTCGAGGTCAGCCCGGTCTACATAGCAAATTCCAGGGCTACAGAGACACCCTATCTCAAAAAGACCAAAAAAAGAAAAAAAAAAAAATTAGATGATTTTTGCTATTGTAGCCCAGGCTAGCCTTAACCTTATGATCCTCTTGCCTTAGCCTCAGAATGGTCTAACTACAGGTGTGCCCACATTGGGATTAAGAAAAACAGGGAGCTTGTGAGATGGCTCACTGGGTAAAAGTGTTTGAAGCCAAGCCCAATGACCTAAGTTCAATCACTGGGACCCACATGGTGGAAGAAAACTGACCCCTCTATGTTGCCCTCTCACCTCCACATGCATGCCTTCATGCACACACATGAAGTAAAAGACTATATTTTTTTTGGTCTTTTTGAGACAGGGTCTCTCTGTAGCCCCATGTCCTGGAACTCATTATATAGACCAGGGTGGCCTTGAACTCACAGAGATCTGCCTGCCTCTGCCTCCTGAGTGCTGGGATTAAAGGCATGTGTCACCATGCCTCGCAAAAGACTGTAATTTAAAAAACAAGCCACAAAAATGGGCTGGCAAGATGGCTCAGTGAGTAAAGGCACACACTGTACAAGCCTGGTTATCTGAGTTGGATCCCTGTAAAAAGCTAGCTATGGTAGAATACATTGTAATCCCAGCAGTCCTACAGTGAGACGAATAGACTTGCCTGGAAGCTCATGGGCCAGTTCCTAGAGTACACAATGTAAACAGCAAGGGACTGCCTCAGAAATAAGGTGGAGGCCAGTAAGATGGCTTAAAGGTGCTAGCTGTGTAAGCCTGATAATGAGTTTGATACCCAGAACCCATGCAAGGGCAGAAGAACCCTGACTCCACATAAGCACCACACATGGGCTGTGGTATATGTGACAAGGCATGTGTGAATGCATGCATACAGAGAAAATTTTTTAAAAAAATTATGGTCATCCAGGGGGCTGGGGAGATGGCTCAGCGGTTAAGAACACTGACTGTTCTTGCAGAAGACCTGGGTTTGAATCCCAGCACCCACATGGCAGCTAACAACTGTCCATAACTCCAGTTCCAGGGCATCTGACAGCCTCTTCTGTCCTCCATGGGCATTGCATGGGACAGACATACTTACCTATATATGCAGGCATAACACTCATACACATAAAATAAAAATATTTTTTTAAAAAATAGTATATCTGCCGAGCATGGTGGCGCATGCCTTTAATCCCAGCACTTGGGAGGCAGAGGCAGGCAGATCTCTGTGAGTTCAAGGCCAGCCTGGTCTACATAGTGAGTTCCAGGACAGCTCGGGCTACAGGGAGACCCTGTCTCAAAAAGACAAACAACAACAACAACAACAACAAAAATCCATGAAACTAAAAAGCCCCTGCAAAACTCAGGAGTGACTCCATAAAGTTGTCCTCTGACCCTCACAAATGTGCCCACACTCACACATGTATCATACACACACACAATTATTTAAGAAAAAACAACAAAAACCCACCCTAACCAACCTTCTGAAGGTTAGCAAACTAGAGATCAAACACTCAGAGGAGCTGGATTTTAAAGCTCATCACTGTTGTCAGCACTCCGTCAGCTTCAGGCTCCTGAACAGGGCAACAAAAGCCACCCCTCTGCAGCCTTTCCATCCCTGTATCCTTTACTGCTTCCCAAACTCAGGTCTTGATTTCTGGTTCTGCATTTTGCTAGAGCTTTTTCTACCTGGAGCATCTCCACTTCAATTACCTAATATTGTCAATTCCTTCTGATTTTGTCACAGATCTTTCCTGGCTACTTCACATGGTAGTACTCTGTCCCTTTGATCAATTTGGAATTAATTAACATTTCCTGGGATAATTACTATGTCACAGTAATACTATTTTTTACCGAGTATTTTTCAGAACTATCCATGTGCTATTTAAGCCACTATATATGTCCTTATAGTTCTCACTAAAACATATGGTAAGTGAGGGTTTTATATAAAGTGCTTGACCCAGAGGTTGGCTCCTAGTACAGAAAGCACTTAGCACACAAAAGGTGAGATGGAGGACTAGAGAGATGGTCTAGTGGTTAAAGGATCTGAATTTAGTACCCATATCAGGTGGCTCAAAACCTCTTGTAACTCCAGTTCTAGAGCACCTGATGCCCTTCTGGCTTCTACAGGCTCTGCATGGGGTTCATACAGACAAGCAGGCACACATAACAGGCAAAAAAAAAAAAAAAAAAAAAAAAAATCCTGGTTGGCCTGGAGAGATGGCTGAGCAGTTAGGAACACTGGCTGCTCTTGCAGAGGATCTGGGTTCAGTTCCCAGCACCCACATAGTGACTCATAACCCTCTTGTAGCCTGTATGGGTACTACACGCATGTGGTGCACTTAAGTAAGGCAAAACACTGACACACACAAAATAACAAGTAAATTAAAAAAATAAAGGGGTGGCTGCTGGCTGACCCCAGGCTCCTGAATAAAGACCATGGCAGCTTGATGTTATGGCATCTTGATGTTATTTTCATACATGTACTCTTCGACATAGTTTAAACCCTCATTGGGATAAAATATGCTTATTAGGTTTGTAAGAACTCAGGCTGTACTCTGGCCACTTTCCGGAATTCTTTAGTGTGGGTCTTAGGGCACTGCATCTCACACCAGCTGATGGGAACCATCTGGACACCTAAGAGAAAGATAAAAACCAGTGTTGGAGGTGTGAATCCTGAGACTTTTCAGCTAGACATAAGTACGTGACTTTTCAGAACACCACTTAGCACATGTAAGACCTTGGGCAAGTCAATTCCCCAGCATTAAAGGAAAATAAAAGTTTTACTGAGCCTCATTCTATACAGGAAAAAAAAAAAAATCCCCAAAACTATGTTATTTATTCCACTGATACATGGGGTGAGTGTGCCTCTTTCCTTAGATTTAGGGGAATCACTCAAATCTCAGTGAGCAGTTACGTGTTGTTCAAAAAGGGGACACATCCAGCACCAGGGAGGCAGAGGCAGAGGCAGCTGGATCTCTGTGAATTCAAGGCCAGCCTGGTCTACAGAGACCAAAAAGACCGAAAAAAAAGGAGGGGGGGGACATGTTCTGAGAGATGAGGTTCTATCACTGGGCAAATACAGGAGTGTACTTAAAAATATTAAGACAGATACAACATCATTAGGTGATGTCATCTTGTGATTTTTCTGTGTGATCCCAGGGCTACATGCATGCTAAGGGAAGCACTCTTCAACTAATCTATATCCCTAGCACATGGTGCTATAATTTTACAGGATCCGCCATGGTATATGCCATCCACAACTGTTCAAAAATATTGCTTTGCTATATCACATGGAAGTATGCATACATGTATATATATACTGATTTCCAGACAACCAGAAAACTAGGGACTAAACAATCCATTATTCCCAAATCATGGTTTCCAGGGAAAAAGTAAGGACATGGAGGTATGGATCAACTTACCTGATTCACTGTGGGCTACCACCACTCCTAACTCATTTTCAGCAGTGGTCAATAGGTAATTGGACTGTGCATCACCTAGGGAAATCTAGCCATGAAATACTGGTAAAGGAAAGTGAGAGGTTTAAGTGTTTGAGACAGGTTCTTATGTATCCCAGGCTGGCTTAGAACCTGCTACGTACCCAAGGATGACCCTGAATTTCTGATCCTCCTGCTTCCACCTCCCAAGTGGTGAGAGTACAGGCATGTGCCATTATGCCCTGCTCTATTTCTTTTCTTTCTTTTTTTTGGTCTTTTTGAGACAGGGTCTCCCTGTAGCCTCAGCTGTCCTGGAACTCACCATGTAGACCAGGCTGGCCTTGAATTCAGAGATTCACCTGCCTCTGCCTCCCGAGTGCTGGGGTTAAAGGTGTGCACCACCATACCTGGCATTCTTTCTTTCTGACAAAAAACCAGAAGCCTGATAGAATAAAGGATACGACTTTGGCCAAAACTATGTCACCTGGGCGAAAACTCTTATAAATTTCAACCTGCAAAGAATGAAAAGGAGTGTTAGGTGAAAGGTCTAGATTGGGTCTACATGAAATTATTAACAGCTCCTCCCTCAGTAGAGCCAGGCTACTTTCTGTCTCAGGGGATTGGCACCATCATTATGTCAGTTAAGACTTTTATTGCTCCTACATTATCATACAATGTGAATAAATACAATGTGAATGTGAATTTAGTAACTTGACCAGGACTTGTACAAAAGGTGCTATGATTGGTTCAGAAAGATCTCAAAGTATCCAAGGGAAGAGCAATGAATAATACTCAGCTTCAAAGGCAAAGAACAGAAGTTTGTAAACCCTAGAGGAGACAGAACAAAGAGAATCACAATTTGTGTGCAATGCTTGGGGTGGCCAGAAGAGGGCACTGGATCACCTAGAATTGAAGTTAGGGATGACTGCTAGCTGCCATATGGGTGCTGGGAACCAAATCCAGGTCCTCTGTAAGAGCACCCAGTGCTCTGAACCACTGGGCCATATTTCTAGCCCCCTCCCTCCCAACCTTATTCTTTTGAGACAGGGTCTCTTACTGAACCTGGAGCTTCTCAATTCTGAAGGCTGGCAAGCTAATGAGCTCCAGGGATCCTCCTGTACCATATCCCCCACTTTCCTGGCACAGGTACAGATGTGCATTTGCATCTAGTCTTCTACATGGGTGACGGGGACCTGAACCCAGGTCTTCATGTTTGTGTAGCAGGCACTTCATCCACTGAGCCACCTCTCCAGCCCAACAATAATCTTCTTTTAAAATTCTGAGACAAAGTATCACTATGTAGCCCTGGCTGGCTGGAACTTGCTATGTAGACTAGGCTGGCCTTGAATTTGGAGAGATCTGCCTGCTTCTGCCTTCCAAGTGTTGGGATTAAAGGCATGTGCTACTACATCTGGCTAATAATAAGATAATAACCTAGCTTCACTCTGGTCAACGGAATAAACAAACCTTGCATGTGAAGAAAGGGATAGTGAGGTGAATTTCATAGATCTCTGAAATTTAATAGGATTTTTTTTTTTTTTTTAAATGTGTATGAGTGTATTGACTACATGCAAGTAAGTGCACCTGTGTTGGGCAATGTGGCAGAGGTCAGAAGAGGATTTCGGATTCCCTGGGAACTGGAGTTAAGGACTGTTTGTAGCAGCCATGTGGGTGCTGGGAATCAAACCCCAGTCCTCTTCAAGAGCAGTCAGTGCTCTTAACCGCTGAGCTATCTCTCCAGCCCCAGGATGATAATTTTTAAAAAGCAAGATTCCTAAAGTCATAGAAAAATCAAAACGATCATCAACCTTGTCTTTTTCAGTTGCTCGGATATCTTCCTTGCTATAAAAAAACAAACAAAAAAAAAAAAACCAAGAATTAGAAAGATTAATTATCTGTGAGAAAGAATTATCCACTGGTTCCTAGGGGGTAATTTATGCAGTGCTGGGGCTCAAATCCAAGGTTTTGTACATGCCAAGCAAGCACTCTCTCAACTCAGGTATATCACCCAGCCCCCTTTTTGCTTTATTTTTATTTTTATTTTATGTGTATATTGGCTGCATGTATGTGAATGCACCCATGTCATGCAGTGCCACGGAAATCAGAAGAGGACTTCGGATTCCCCTGGAACTGTAGTTAAGGATGGTTTGTAGCCACCATGTGGGTGCTGGGAATCAAACCCAGGTCCTCTGCAAGAGCAGTCAGTGCTCTTAACCGCTGAGCCCTCTCTCCAGCCCCTTTGCTTTTTTTTTAAATCCTCTTTCATTAACATTTTCATTTTGTCTTAGCTCATACAAATCTCTGGATACTGTGGGGGAGAACTGAAAGACTGAAGTAGGCAGAAAAAAGAACTGTAAATGCTGTAAAATTCTAGTCTGCCCCACTACCCTGCCTCACTCCTGGAATGGAGGCACATGTGAACACAGACTAATTCTTACCGGATAGTTCCTCGAAAAGAATTTTTAAGAGGTGTGGATCCAATGTAGAGGATGTGTACTTTGGCAAAACGTGAATTGATGCTAGAGACCTATGGAATAGAGAAAGGAACAGCATCAGAGTATCAGCAGCTGTTAGTTTAAGGAAGCGCAACAAACAGGAACTACTGGGATTTTAGACCAAGTAACCTCACTAAACAGAATCTAAGACAAGTTTTTTTCTTATTATTTTATTTTTTATGTCTTTGTATGGGTTATGTGTACTTGAGTGCAGGCATCCACGGAGGCCAGAGGTTTTGGATTCCTCCTGAAGCTAGAGTTACAGTAAATTGTGAGCCACCTGCCCTGGGTGCTGAGACTTGAACTCAGGTCCTCTGTAAGAGCAAGTACTCTTAACTGCTGGGCCATCTCTCCAGCCAAGTGAAGACATGCTAACTCCTACTTATCTCTAAGTGTTACCTGTGGATTAAAAGTCTCAGTGACAACATGATAAAGCTATTACTTTGAGCATCAAATAAGATAATATGGTATTGATTTATAAAATATCTAAGTCTAAGCTGGAAAAATGGCTTAGCTTTGTTAAAAACAAATTATCCAAGTCTAAGCCAGGTGTGGTGGTACATGCTGTAATCCTAGCTACTAGGAAAGGTGATTGAAAGCAGAGTGGTCTATCTAGCAAGTGTGAGGCTAGCATTGGCAATTTGACAAGACAACTATCTCAAAATTTTAATAAAACATCAACAACAAAACCCCCACAAATCTAGACCTGGGGCTGGAGAGATGGCTCAGCAGTTAAGAGCACTGACTGCTCTTGCAGAGGACCCAGGTTCAATTCCCAGCACCCACATGGTGGCTACAAACCATCCTTAACTCCAGTTCCAAGGGAATTTGAAGCCCTCTTCTGACCTCCGTGGCATTGCACGACACAGGTGCACCCACATACATGCAGCCAATACACTCATACACATAAAATAAAAATGAGGGCTGGAGAGATGGCTCAGTGGTTAAGAACACTGGCTGTTCTTGCAGAAGACCCGGGTTCGAATCCCAGTACCCACATGGCACCTAACAACTATTCATAACTCCAGTTCCAGGGGATCCGATAGCCTCTTCTGTCCTCCATGGGCATTGCATGACACAGGTGCACTTACCTACATGTAGGCAATACACTCATACACATAAAATAAAAATAATATTTAAAAATAAATAAATTAAAAAACAAAACAAAACATCTAGGCCTTTAGCAATTCTTAGTAAGAAGCTGGTACAGTCGACAGAATTCAAATCTACATTTCGGCTAGTACCTAACATTTGGATCATTGCCTCTCCAGGTATTTCCAAAGTAATACAAATAGTTACTTCTAGAGTAATTTATACAGAGAAAAATAAAGGTGGGTGAGGTGGTACACTGTAATCCCAGTACCCTGGAGACAAGAAGATCAGTAGATCAAGGTCATTCTTTGCTATACAGAAAGTTTTGAGGCAAGACCCTAGAGAGATAGAGTACATGCCTTTAGTCCCAGCACTAGGGAAGCAGAGGCAGGTGGATCTCTGTGAGTTCAAGGCCAGCCTGGTTTACATTAGAGAGTATGAGGCCAGCTGGGGTTATAGGTGACCCTGTCTCAAAAAGATAAAAAAAGCCTTTCCTTCCTTTTTTAAAAATTTTATTATTAGTGTGTGAGTGTGTGTATGTGTGTGTGTGTGCACGCAAGCTCAGATATCACAGCACAGTGTGTGTGGAGGTCAGAGGACAACTTTACAGAACTAGCTCTTGTTGGAGACCACTGGTTTACCTGAACTGATGTTGGTTTACCTAAACTCTGCAGAAAGCATGCTTGTTGAGGCAGACAAAGGAACATAGTATAGTGACCCCACCCCACATTATACCAGGAAATAACATTAGTCATAATGCCCTCTTATGCTTAGCTAGTTTTCATTGTAGAAAACAGATTCTTTAAGCCGGGCGTGGTGGCACACGCCTTTAATCCCAGCAGAGGCATTTAAGCCCAGGAGGCAGAGGCAGGCAGATCCTTGTGAGTTCAAGTCCAGCCTGGTCTACATAGTGAGTTCTGGTCAGCTGGGACTACAGGGAGACCCTGTCTCAAAAAGACAAAAAAAAAAAGAAAACAGATTCTTTGCTTCAGAATAACATACCCAGAAGTCTTGAGGAAGTTTTCTCAAGACTGACTGCACTGAGTAAAAGTCACATTTTTGCTCTGCTTAGGAAAAATTAAAGCAATAAATGCACAGTGGGATAGGGACTCGTGGCCTCTGTTCCCTCAGCAGACAGTATCCTGGTACCCCACACTTCAGATTCTAACTAAGCGTTGTGTCTGTCCTTCAATATGAGCCATTCCTCTTTGAGGATTCTCTGAAGCCCCGCCCTGTGGCAAGTTCTCTTCTGGATCCACATTTACATGGGTTCTGCATATCAAACTTAGGTCATGAGTGCCTTTACCTGCTGAGTCATCTTACTTATTAGTAAATACAAAATTTTATTATTTTGTTATTTTGAGTAGGGTCTCACTATGCAGCACTGGCTGGCCTGGAACGTAGTCCAGGTTGACCTCAAACTTACAGAGATCCACCTACCTCAGCCTCCTGAGTGCTGGAATTAAAGGTGTGTGCCACTATGCCTGGCCTAATTTTTATTTTATGTTTATGAGTGTTTTGCCTGCGTGTATGTTTGTGCACCATGTATGTTCCTGGTTCCCCCAGAGGCCAGAAGAGAGGGTGTTGCATTCCCTGGAACTGGAGTTACAGAGGGTAGGAGTGAGCCACCATGAGGATGCTGGGAACAAACCTCAGGCCCTCTGCAACAGGAGCAAGAACTCTTAACCACTGAGCTATCTCTCTAGCCCCATCTTTTCTGTTTTGAGACAGGGTATCACTATGTAACCCAGGCTTTTTGATGTGATTGTAGTTATATGCTCCTATGCCCTACTAATAAAACTTTCTGTGATGACAAAAATGTTATTTCTGGGATTGGAGAGATGGCTCAGAGGTTAAAAGGCAGTGGCTGTTCTTTCAGAGGACCTGGGATCAGTTTCCAGGACCCACATGGTAGGTAACAACCATCCCTAATTCCAGTCCAGGGAATCCAATGCACTCTTCTGGGCTCCGGGGGCATTGCATGTATGGGTGTACTTACATACACATAGACAAAACACTCATACACATAAAGTAAAAAATTATTTAAAAAACAGAAGTATTATTTCCTGGAACTGAGGGTGTACTTCAGGAGAAAAGCCTAACATATTAAAACCCTAGGTTCCATCATCCCCCAACCAAAAAAAATTATGTGCTAACCAATATGGTAGTCAGTAGCTATAGCTTGCTAGTAAGTACTTGAAGTATGGCTAGTGTAGCTGAGGAAATGAAAATTTTGGGGAGGGAAGGCAAGACAGGCTCTCACTCTGTAGCCCACCCTGGTCCTGAACTCCTGGCAATCCTCCTGTTTCAGCCTCCCAAGTGCTGGCATTATAGGCATGGAAAATCATGCCTGGCTGAAAATGAATTTTTAACACTTATCATTTAAACTAAAATAGCTGCATACAGCTGGGCGTGGTGGCGCACGCCTTTAATCCCAGCACTCAGAAGGCAGAGGTAGGCAGATCTCTGTGAGTTCAAGGCCAGCCTGGTCTACATAGTGAGTTCCAGGACAGCTGGGGCTACAGGGAAACTGTCTCAAAAAGACCAAAAATAAAAAATATAAAAATAGCTGCGTGTAGCTAGTGACTACTATACTGGACATAGCAATCATAGAATGTGGCCTAGGCACAAAGATTAGGACAACTTACCTTACAAGTGACAACAGCACCCACATCTGGAAGTAACCGGGATTCTGTTTCTCTCATTACAGATACCACAGGAAGCTACAGAAAGAACAATATACAATCAATGTCCTGGCCAAGCCTTAGGTAAAGATAATTGTGGCTGGAGAATAAAGGACTGTCTCAGAACAACTGGGGTGACATGGGCAGTTAAGATTATAGATTCATTTCTGGCCCACAGCAGAGGACATTAGAAATTTTGGGAAGAGGACAGGGGGCCATTAGGAATAGCCAGAAGAATTAATATGACCTTTATAGAATAGTTCTAAACTTGATTCTTTTGGAATTTCTTAGTATCCAACCTTATTGGTTATAATTATGGATAAAACTTGATCCTTTCCTCCAAAGTTCACTGCTTCTTTTTATTTTATTGTCCAAGATAGAATTTTCAAATTAATATTGACAATTAGCACAAAGATAGGCATTGTTTTGTTTTCTTTTGAGATAGTCTCACTATGCAGCACTGGCTGGCCTGGAATGTAGTCTAGGTTGATCTTAAACTCACAGAGATCCACCTGCCTCAGACTCCTGAGTGCTGGGTTTAAAGGTGTGTGTCATCACACCTGGCCCGATTTTTGTGTTTTTTGTTTGTTTTAATCAATGTCTCCCTTGCTCTTTTTTTTTTTTTGTCTTTTTGAGACAGGGTCTCCCTGTAGCCCCAGCTGGCCTGGAACTCACTATGTAGACCAGGAAGGCCTCTAACTCACAGAGTTCCGCTTGCCTCTGCTTCCCAAGTACTGGAATTAAAAGTGCTACCACACTTGTCATCTCCCTTGTTCTTTATGGTTAAGCACTCTTAAGCCTTTGTTTTCTCATCTTACTGAATCCTTCCCATTTCAAAATGTCTGTTCAACAAGCTCTTTATGCCAGAACTGCATTTCTTCCACACTTCTACCTCTTCTCAACCTTAAAAACTTATTATTTTATGTGTATGAGTGTATTGCCTGCATGTATGTAGGTGCTTCCATGGCCCACAGTGCCTGCGGAGGTCAGAAGATCCTCTGGAACTGAAGTTATGGCACCATGTGGGTGACGGGAACCAAACCAAGGCTGCAAGAACAGCCAGTAATCTTAACTGCTGAGCTATCTCTCAGCCCCTACTTCTATTTAACCTTTAGAAGACTCAATCTAAACGTTCCATTCACTATCCAGGGAAGTGGACACACAGCCTATTCTGATAGGGTCTCCCTGTAGCCTGAGGTAACCTGGAACTCACTGTGTAGACCAGGTTGACCTCAAACTCACAGAGAACCGCCTGCCTCTGCCTACTGAGTGCTGGGACTAGAGGCTTGAACTACCATGCCCCGCATAGTGTGCAAGTGTGCAAGATACTTTTAAAGAAGTCCTACTTCCAAGCAACTCACAGTTGACAATTTATAATTTGTGTCTGTGCCTCCTAACAGAAAAACCTAAGTGTATTTCATGACTATATCCCAGTGGTCAGTACAAGCTCAGTACTATACAGGACACATTAAAATGCTAAAGAGATGTCCTTGAAATGAACAGTCGGGTTGAGGGCATTTTCAAAACTGATTGAACAGAAAGCCTCTCATTTACAGATGATGAAGAAGAACTTAAATTCAGAGAATTTATATTTGTTACTCAAAAGAGGCAAGATATAGTTAGTACCAAAAGCATTTTAATTCATTTTTTAAATTCTTTTTTCATTGAATCCCACACTCACCATAATAGGCAAGCACTCTACCACTGAGTCACAAGCCTAGTCTAGGGTTTTAAATATTTTTTCTTGACTTATTACATGTTCATATGCATGTGTGTGTGGGTATGTGTCCATGAGTCCAGGTGCCTGCAGAGGACAGAGGCGTTGTATCTCTCTGGGCAGGTAGAGCTGGATTACAGGTAGCTGTGAGCAGACTGATCTGGTTGCTAGGAACCAAACTTGTTTTTTTTTTGGGGGGGGGCTGTTACAAGGTCTTCCTGTAGCCCCAGCTGGTCTGGAACTCACTATGTAGATCAGGCTGGCCTCAATCTCATAGAGATCCACTTGCCTCTGCCTCTAGAGAACTGGGATTAAAGGAGTGTGCCATCAAGCCCTGCCAGTGCCACCAGTTTTAATTCTTAATCTTCTATTGTGTCATATCTTTCCAAGACTGCTTATCTGCTTTTCTCAGTAGTTGGGAATACAGACACGCACCACCATGCTTCGCTAAACCTAAGTCTAGGAGGGGGTCTATTAAGAGAAATATACGGATATTTAGTGACATGCTTAAATAAGTGCTTTGAAAGAAAGTGTTCAACAATCCTACTCCCACCAAAACCCCATTTTCTCAACTTGTGGGTTCAGAGAGCTTCTCTGAGAAAATGATTAACTAGAATGTCTACCTAGAAGACGTTAGATAACATAGGGAGATCAGGAGCATGTTCCTGAGAGATGACATGTGCACAAAGGCTGTGGGGCAGGAGAAAGCTTAGAGAATTAGGGAGTTGCCAGCATTACTAGGCTGCAGTCCCTGAGGTGGAGAGTAGAGGCAGATGAAGGCGAAGGGGTAGGCAGACTGAGGACAAGATGCAGTTCACTGCTGGCTGGGTTACTCTTAATTTGCATGTGCTCTTCTCCCAACTTGAGTGTCAAGTTACGCAAGCAACCTAACTAATGTGCTGCAGCTGAGCCTGAGCTTTGACACAGAGCTACGACCACAGCCGGTGAGGCACTAACGACGCGTCGGCAGTGCCTGTGCCCACGGCAAGAGCAGCCTGAGAGAAAGAATGGGAGATGGAAAGCCGCTTCCTTTACCGCGCCGTTCTCGCTGGTCTTCGTCAGGCAGCCCGCCAGCGACGAGAAGACGTAGCCATGCCGGGTGTAGGTGCCGCTGCCTGGGCTGCCTTCCTCTAGGTTACACAGACGTTCACCTGCAAGAAAAACGCTGCATCAGCCATAGGCTCCTCGAAGCTGGGGGCCGACCAGCCTCCGTCCCTGCCTGGAGCTGCGTATGGGACCGCTCACTCACCTGGGATGCAGTACCTCACAGGTGGTGCCATGTCTGCTACTGATCCGAAACCCGGAGGGAAACGAAGCTGACTTGTCATTGGTCAGATTCAGGAGCAGTCCCGCAGTAAGAAATGTGTCTATTGGATCATCTTACCACGTGGTGCGCCCTCCTTGAAAGCTGACTACATTTCCCAGGTTGCCGCGGGATAAATCCCTGGGCGTGCCTTTGCGGGCTCCTGGGCTCGCGCCTGCGCTGGTGGACGAGGATGGGCTGGCGGCGGGTCCCGGTCCACTGGCAGGTGTTGCTGGCGGCGAGCCATGGTGGGTTTGCTTGAGCCTGGCCCCGCCCCGGTGCCGAGCTGGAGGGGGAAGCAGTGAGCGGCGGAAGAGGCTACGGGGCTCCATTTGGTGGATTAAAGGGCTGGCAAGAGGCAGGTAAGGGGAAGTCGTGGCGTTTGTTCCTTATCCGAATCCTGGGTGCCTGGGCCTTGTAAGTTTAGGTTCCTGTTCTCTCCTCGCCCCGCCTTGCGTGGCTGTGCCCTCCAGAGGCCGAGCACACTCTCGGCCCCCAGCGCGCTGAACGAGGGCAACCAAACCTAGCTTGCCCATTGACAGGTTTGGAGATGCATATCCAAACACAAGGTTTGACTTGGCTAAAGTCTCTAAGCTAATTCGAGACAGCGTAAACTAGAGCCTGATTTTGACCTCCAAGCCCATCATAGTTTGACCACGCTACTCTTGAGACACAACCTTTTCCCGGGTTTTCTAAAGTACAACTTCCTCTCTTGCGGTTCGATACTCCAGTGGCGTGGACTCCTCAACTTTGGATGAGCAGCTCCACGATAAAATTGCTCCTTATTTCTTTTTAACATATACGTCAGGAGAAAAGTCTGAATAGAACATTTTGCTTTACTGATGCCTGACATCGGTTTACGGTGGCAGACATACTGAGCGCAGCGTCTTTGTCTAGATGAAATTCGCCATGCTTTGATCTGTTTCTCCTGCCTTGTGGTGGCTTTGGAATTTGTTCCTATTCCCAATTCCTTGGGACACAGATGGTGATTTAGAGCCCCGGAATGAGGGAAGTGCTGTGCCCTGCAAATCTCTAATCTGGTGGCAGATGGCTACCATGGCCTTGTGGGTACTACTGAGGGATGGGACTACTCAGGGTTTGTAGGTACTAAGCAGGTACTAGGTAAGTAGGTACTAGATTCCTCCTCTGTTCACTTTGAGGTCATCCATGTCCTTCTGTCACATTTAAGTCTTAAATTTTGCTCTGTGTTTACTGAGATGAAACCTTAGCCCATGGACAGTATCCTTTCCCTAACATCCCTTTTCCCTGACATCATCATCACCCCCCCACCCCATATCCCACTAGCCATAAAGTGAGGGGAGAGGCCTGGTCTCACAACTTGTTCAAGCAGATCTGATCATCATCTACAACCTTTGAATTTACATGTTTGATTTCTTAGTTGGACTTGTTCTGTGAAATGTGTTCTAATTCTTCAGTGCTGTGATTCTAATAACAGTCTGTATTTCTGTATTTATTCAGGAAGAATGATAGAAGCATATACTTTAGTATTACCATACTGGCATCTGTAGAACTGATACGCCTTTCCAGTTCTTCATCTCTCCAGGTCATTCACTGAACAGGTATTGTGCTAAGATGGAAGGGATCACAGGATAGGAACACAAGAGACAGAATTCTAGCAGGGTTTAATGATTTGCTGAAGGTTACAGGACTATTTAGGGGCAGAATTGAACCCTAAGTAGGGCATAAGTAGATGAGAATTGGTAAATCATGACTGAGGTAGGCATTTCATATAGAGTTCAAGAATTCAGGAGGTGATTGACAATAATCCGAAAAGCAGAGAAACTGAGGAGGAATTTTTTTTAAACGCTTTTTTTTTTTTTTTTTTTTTTTTTTTTTTGTGTGTGTGTGTGTCTGTCTGTCTGAGTATATGTATCACGTGTGCAGGTCCCACAGAGGTGAGAAGAGGGTGTCAGATCCCCTTGGAACTGGAGTAAACCATCTGATGTGGGTATTGAGAACCAAACCTGGGTCCCTTTTTAAGAGCAGCAAGTGTTTTTAACCACTGAGCTATCTCTCCAGCTTCAGTATCTGAGTGTTTTCAAACTATATTTCAGCAACTAGAGCACTCTCCATTATCCCTAGTCAGAGAGAATGTTCAGTGGCACATTGCTGTGGGACAGTTAGTTACACCCGACTCATACTGTGGCCATTTATAAAATTTGTGCTTTATCCCAATCATGGTTCCGTAAATAATAGCAGTTCAAGGAATCTTCTAGCAAGGCTAAAGCAAGGAGAGTACAGGCATGAGTTTTTCAGTTTTTCTTTTCTACATTCCCTGTTAATTTTTTCAGTTTCCTAGGAGTGATGGGGATTGCCAGTTTCTTTATCTTGGTGCTGTGGTCTCGCCCCATAATCTTCTATTTTCTTGTAGACCTTGTTGGCTAGGTTTCTTTTCATCTTAGGGTTTTCAGGCTTGTGAAAGGAAGTAATTAAATATTTTCTTAGAAAAGCCTTTAGTGGGGATGAGCCAGGGTGCAAGGAGAGTGCGTACTCCAGTTACTGAACTGAAACCATCTCCATAGCAGAGTAGCCTCCTCCAGTTTCTGCTGGGTTTTGAGCTGCCTGTTAAATAAGTCAGTGGAGTTACTGAGGACAAAGTAATACTCTCTGGCAATCTTAAGAAAATCAGATTGCTTTTTTTTTTTTGAGACAGGGTCTCCCTGAGGCTAGCCTGGAACTCGATATGTAGATCAGGCTGGCCTTGACTCACAGAGATTCGCCTGCCTCTGCCTCTCCAGTGCTGGGATTAAAGGAGTGTTACCACATCCAGCTCAGGTCACGTTTTTCTGTAAAGACTTTTTATATGGCTGCCAAGACTGTCATGGAAAGCCTGTTAGACCTTCTCTGTCCTCAGTTATGTTCATTGCCTGAGCAGTGAGCTCCTCCTGAGTTTTGGAAGCACTTAACAAAGGCGCCATGGAGAAGGCTAAAGAGCTGGGAGGGTGGTTGGGAAGCTTGGGGTCAAGGGCATCAGTTGCAGAAACAGTACTTAGAGCCAGAAAAACTGAGAGGGTAGGTCACTCCCCCTGCTTTTTTCTTGCCTCCCCTGCTCTGAGTATCTGAAGTTACCTTGCCACTGTATCCCTGGGGTAGGGCTGGGAGTAGAACTGGAGACAAGCATCTTGTGTTATGCAAGGAGTGGCTGGCTTCCCTGACAGGAGACAAGGACTCTCATACTACTAGGCTGTCTGTTGGCCTGTAACCTCAGCCCAGAGTGAGTAGGAAAGGGAGTATGAGTACCTGGAGTTAGACCAGAGAAATTCTAGATGCAGGATCCTGTTGATCTTCCTGTATTCCATAGGCCAGAGCTGGTAGGAGATCCTGGGAAACCCCTGTCACAGTGGCCATGCAGAGACCTAGTGGCAGCTTTGTTCATGTTGCCAAGCTTTTCCAGTGCTCTATCTACACAGACATCTCCAAAGAACTTTTAGGAAGCTAGGGAGATGGCTTAGTAACATGTTTGCCACATAAGCATGAGAACCTAAGTTTGATCCCCTGGAACCTATGTAAAAAGACAAGTCTCTGTAATCCCAGTACTGGGGAGGCAGAGACAGGTGGATCCTTTACCATGCGGGATAACTAGCATAGCTGAATTGGTGAGCTCCATGTCTGGTGAGAAACATTGTTTCAAAAACTAAAGTGGAGGGTGACTGAAGACATCCAATGTCCACCTGTGGTCTGCGTACACACACAAAAGAACTTTGTCTTGAAGTCACCTGCCTCTCTCTCATCCTCACCCTTTTATTGTAGCCCTTGTAGGGGGTGTGTCACCTTGGATTTGCTGTATAACCCTGTAGTATAATGTAAATATGGCTTTTGTAGGCTCAGAACCTCTAATCCCTACCTCCTACAGTCTGTTATAGGCACTGGACAGTGTGTAGAAAGTGACCTTTTTCCTTCTCACAGTTGGTACTGGCCTACCTCAGCCTTAGTCTTAAGAATTTGCTCTCCAAGCTGATACTTTGGATCTTCTCACTAGTGGATAGGGAGAGACAGGACTCAGGTTGGATCCTCATATTGGTGTGCTCTCCTAGGAGCCATGCGGGGCCAGCGGAGCCTGCTTCTGGGCCCAGCCCGTCTCTGCCTGCGCCTCCTTCTGCTCTTAGGCTACAGGCGCCGCTGCCCACCTCTGCTACGGGGCCTGGTACAGCGTTGGCGCTATGGCAAAGTTTGCCTGCGCTCCCTGCTCTACAACTCCTTTGGGGGCAGTGATACTGCTGTTGATGCTGCCTTTGAACCTGTCTACTGGCTGGTGGACAATGTGATCCGCTGGTTTGGGGTGGTAAGTGATGATGTCCAGGATATTTTGGGGGAGTGGAGGATGTGTCTCTGATGGGCCCACACTGAGTTTTAGAGGCCAACTTCCTACCCTCAGGGAAGTTCCCTGGGGGGTACAGCTTTCTCACAGTGTCTTCTGCTCACTGGTGTTGGCAGGTGTTCGTGATACTGGTGATAGTACTGACTGGCTCCATCGTGGCCATTGCTTACCTCTGTGTCCTGCCCCTCATCCTCCGAACCTACTCAGTGCCACGACTCTGTTGGCATTTCTTCTATAGTCACTGGAATCTGATCCTCATCGTCTTCCATTACTACCAGGCCATCACCACTCCTCCTGGGTACCTACCTCAGGTGGGTCTCCATAGGTGTGTGTATGTGGCTGGAGCAGAGTTGCAGGCCATGGTAGAGAGTCCCATGAGTGAATGAGTGTGTGTGTGTGTGTGTTGTGTGTGTATGTGTGGTGCCTTGAAATCTTTTGAGACAGAAATCTGTTGCTATACCATGGTCCAGATGTTCTTCTCCCTCTGCACAGGGCAGGAATGACATTACCACCGTCTCCATCTGTAAGAAGTGCATTTACCCCAAGCCAGCCCGAACACACCACTGCAGCATATGTAATAGGTGGGTCTTGGCTTTGCTGTGAACCTCAGCAGAGTGAGTCCCTGTTGTAACTCTAGGGCAAAACCTGATCCTGGCACTTACTAAATCTCGTACCAAAATGCCCATCATGTCCTAGGCAATGTGCTTTCCATCTGCTGACAGTCTTCAGGATGATCCTGAATTGGGCATTATTACTACTTTTGGAAAGTGAGGCTCAGGGAGATGTGTTTCTTGTCCAATTATCACCTAGCCAATAATCTATATAGCTGGGTTTGAAGGACTGGCTCTCTTAAAAGTCTGTGTCCTTTCCACCTCAGCCAAGATAACTGGTCCTTGTAGGAAAGGATTGTCACTGACATCTCAAGAACCTTGGTCATTGTAACAGCCTGTGTCCCTCCTTCACAGGTGTGTGCTGAAGATGGATCATCACTGCCGTATCCTTTTGCTCTCTTCTGCCTGAGGTCATCGCCTTTACCTCCAGAGCACTGTACAGGGTTAATAGTCACAAGCTCACGGTTTTCTGTCGTCAGCCTCCAGAAAACACAGTGCCTCATGAGAAGTTAGTATTAGAGGCATTGTGGAGTCTGACCATCTCTTTGTGGAGCAGGAGCCCCAAGGGCTGTCTGGGATGGATCTTGTGTAGTGTTATTGAAGAGATGTTTGGGCTTCTGTGCCTGTCTACTGGGGGTGTCTTTTTGTGTCACCATGTAGATATATGGCTAACTTGTTAGGTTGAATTACTTGGCAGATATATTTGTAAGTAGTTTCAGGATTTCCTAGTGGCATCTGAGAGCTCTAAAAAGCTTAGATGATTTTTACCTTAACCTTGGGAAAGTCTTATTTTCTTATCTTTGGAAAATAGTTCTTGCTTGGGTGATGTCTTGAACTAAGGATGAACCATAGGGGCTTGGACACCCCTGAATTTCATCTGATCTTGTCCTTAATTATTCTCCCACCAGCCTGGCTAAACAACTGTGTAGGCCATTATAACCATCGCTATTTCTTCTCTTTCTGCTTTTTCATGACTCTGGGCTGTGTCTACTGTAGCTACGGAAGTTGGGACCTTTTCCGGGAGGCTTATGCTGCCATCGAGGTGAGCCCGTGTCTAGGAACATAGTAACTCAATAGTGCAGAAACCTGTCCCAATGGAATGGTTGGTAGCATCCCATCTTAGAGGCCTGAGAGTGTAACCAGCACTGTTTTCCATCCCCCTAGAAAATGAAACAGCTTGACAAGAACAAACTACAGGCGGTTGCCAACCAGGTGGGCAGTCTCCACCCCACTGCCTCCTGCTGCTCAGGCCAGGGGGTCTAAGAGTTACTTAGGCAACTGGGCCTGCTACTTTAGTTACAGAGGCTGGCTGCCAGATCAGCCATCTAAGGAAGCTGTCATGGTAGATTAAGTAGCCTGGGGGTAAACTGGAAGACTTGTTACCTAAGTTTTTAGCTATCAATCTATCCCATCATTATGTCTTTAGGCTGGAGTCTGCCTGGTGATGGCCTGAGCAACAAGGGGTCTGTGTTAGTCTGTGTAATGGAGGTCCAGGGGACAGATAACCAGGCTGGTCTATTAGCATCTGAATCCTGCCCCCCAACCCCAGTTCTTTTCAGGATCTTTTTTTCTGTGTGCATCTTGAGCTTGTATATAGTACCTTTGCTGGCTTTTCAGCCCTCCCCACCCCAGTCAGTCCATGTCAGGTGTGGGTCTAGTGCCTTCTTGTGGATGCAGCCATACAGTGAAGGAGATATGGCTGGCTAGAGATTGAGTGGTTTCCCCTGGAGTCCCATTACTGTTGTCAGCCTTAAAGTCCAGGGTCAGCTCCTCCTGTGCTTTGTCATCTTGTCTAGACCTGCTCTACCCAGTGTCTGTCAGGCATGGTCCACCCATCTGGCTGCTGGCCTGATTCCTCTGTGGCTTTAATCCCCATTTTTCTCTGCCTGGGTTTGTATTACTTCCTGCCTGTAGGTGCTTGGGGCTCTGGTGGCAGTTCTGGAGACTAACAGAGCAAAGAAGCTAGGCTTTGCTGTTTTTTTTTTTTCTAGACTTACCACCAGACCCCACCACCTACCTTTTCCTTTCGCGAAAGGATAACTCACAAGAGTCTTGTCTACCTCTGGTTCCTGTGCAGGTATTTAATCCTCAGTTTTGAGTTTTAAGGGAGGGCAGCATCAAGAAAACCTTTGTGGGTGCCTACACAGTTAGCAACCCATCCTTGAGTGACCTTCTGTTCTAGTCTAGCTAAGGTTAGCAAAGAGTCAAAGCTTTTCTCTAGTATTTTGGGGGCAATGGACAATAAGGATAGTGGCATTGCTGCTTTCTGAATCCTAGCAATACACACATGCTTGTTATGTGCCAAGGTACATTAAATTTTCGCTTACTCTTAAAGGCTAGGTGACTACGTTTATAGATAAGGACAATTAGAAACTTAAGAGGAGCAAAGGGATTTGTTCTATGATACACAGTATAGAGCTGGAATGTGTATTTCATGCCAACCCTCATGTTTTTATGGCCCTCCACTATCTCCCAAGCATAGGCATTTTTAGAAAAATCTTTTTCTCCATAATAGACTTACTTCCCTCCCCTTTATCCTTCCCATATAACTTTTTCTTAGCCTACTTTAAGACATCTCTTTACTCAGGTTCTTTCTAGATGAAATACTTGTTTACCTAAGATAAGGAAAATGAGGCAGAGAGGCTGCTAGCCAGTCATCACTGCAAGTTCAATTTCCTACTGTCTTCTAGCCTCTAACTCCCACCAATCTTTGCTTCCATAGTTCTGTGGCACTGGCCCTAGGTGCCCTAACCATGTGGCATGCTGTTCTCATCAGTCGAGGTGAGACTAGCATTGAAAGGCACATCAACAAGAAGGAGAGACGTCGGTTACAAGCCAAGGGCAGAGTGAGTGGGGTGGAGTGCTTGGGTGAGCAGGTGGGTAACTGACCCTAAATCCTATAAATAGGCCATGATCAGGGCTGACTAGACAAGTCAGTCAGTCTCTCTCTCTCTCTCTCTCTCTCTCTCTCTCTCTGTCTTTTAAACACAGGGTCTCCCTCTAGCCCTAGCTGGCCTGGAATTTGCTATGTAGACCAGGCCAGCCTTGAACTCAAGAGATTCACCTGCCTCTGCCTCGGGAGTGCTGGGGCTAAAGGCGTGAGCTTGGCTTGACAAGTCTCTTAAAAGGCTAGAATTTGCTTATCTGAGCTCTAGCTTAGCCATCAATCTCCAAGATGAGAAGATTAAGAAGAAGGTTGTATTTTTCTTGCCTCTAGGTATTTAGGAATCCTTACAACTACGGCTGCTTGGAGAACTGGAAGGTGTTCCTAGGTGTGGACACAGGAAGGTAAAGTAAGAGATACAGAGAGCAGTGCTGTGCAACAGAACTCTGTGATGGGGGAATAGCAGGAACAATGAATGTGGCTAGTGCCACTAAAATTTGCAGTTGGGTTTCGTTTCAGGAGTTTAAGTAGCCACATGTGACTAGCCTCCTATATTTGAACAGTTCTAGACTCTATGAACAATAAATATTGCTTTTATCTGAACCAACAGTGCCTGAGGCTAAAACTCTGGTTTATGTAGATAACTACTGGAGAATCCTGAGAGATAAGATGTAACATCACCAATCAGAAGCAATTTGTGGTAGAGGTTCTAAGGCAATACATGAGGCTATTTCTCCCAGTCCTAGAAATAGGGGAAGTCATTCTTCGGAACTGCAGTTACTAGGATGGATGTGGTAGCACATATCTGTAAACCTAGCCCTCTGGAGAGGATCAGGAATTCAATGCCAGCCTGGGTTACATAGTAGCATCCTGTCCTAAAAAAAGACAGTGACTCAGACTGAGAAACGCACACCCACAGTTAGGTATATGCAAATTCTTATAGCCCTGGTTGGCCTGGAACTTACAGGGATCTGCTTGCCTCTGCCTCCCAAGTAACATGTGCCACCAGGCCCCACCATAATTGTTCTTAAGTCTTTGGCACACACATACACACCCCTAACCTCACCTGCTCTCTGGGCTTAAATATGAAAACTTTTTCTTAATAAACTCCAATTTTGCTTCATTTGAAAAGAGAGAAAACACCTCAAAAGGCCCTCTCGGCCCCAGAGGATACATTCATTGGAGTTAGAGGAAATTAGAACTTTGATCACCTTTCCGTTTTATGTATGCTTGCTGCAGAATAAACAGGAATGATAAACCAAGAACTCAAGACTAGAGACACTTTTTCTTCTTCTCTTACAGGCATTGGCTGACCCGGGTGCTGTTACCTTCTAGTCACTTACCCCATGGGAATGGAATGAGCTGGGACCCCCCTCCCTGGGTGACTGCTCACTCAGCCTCTGTGATGGCAGTGTGAGCCATTGTGTCAGCTGCAACCTAATCATTTGTTCTGCTGCCTGTGTTGTCTCAAGAGCTTCCAAGGGCAGCCTTTCTTGAAGTTTGTGACCATAAAGAGCCATTAGGCCTGCCTTAGAGTACTACACAGGGACAACTTCTCAAAGACCAATTTTCTGGCCACCTCAAAAGACAATGTAGAGAACTCCTAGGACTGATGTCCCTTTACTCAGGCCAACAGAAGTTCCAGCCGCAGTGTAGAGGTCAGGCAACTAGTTACCTTGTCTGGTGCTGACCCTGATGTTCTCTAGGTCACAGCACTGGGGCTAACAACCATCTCTTTCACCTTGGAAAAAGACCTACTAGGTATGTTGAGTGGTTTCTCAATGGAGAAAAGACACCAAGCCTGCTGCCAAGGTCACTGCCATTTCTCATGCTATTGAAGGGAGCAAAAATAAAGGCACTTGATTTGTAAAGATAGAAGCTTTTTACTCTACCTCACTGTAGGATGGAGGAAGGGGATGTAAGGGTCAAGGTCTAGTGAGTCGGCATTCTGGTCATGCCTCCAATGGCCTTACTTGGAGGAGCTGGGTGCTACTCCTCTGCCTGTGTGCTACTGCAGCATGTGTGGGATAAGGGAATACGTTACAGCCCCATTACCAAAAGAAATCTTTATTCTCCATCAAGTACAGACACACACACACACACACACACACACACACACACACACCCCATCCCCAGCCCTCAAGCTCACACTCAAATGAACTCACCCCACAGCAGCACAGCTCCCTTTTCCTGAATAGGATACAGCAAGAGAGCCCCAAGACCCAAGGTCTTTCCTCAAATACAAATATTCTCAGTTTCTTTAAAAACCCATTTGAAATCAGGACTCCCATGTGTCTTGCAGCAAGAGAGCCCCAAGACCCAAGGTCTTTCCTCAAATACAAATATTCTCACTCAGTTTCTTTAAAAACCCATTTGAAATCAGGACTCCCATGTGTCTTGCACAGCCATGTAGCAGAGACCCAGCATTTGTACTGTGTCCATGGGAAGGATAGGCATAAAGAAGCCAGTGGTTTCCTTGCCTTGCAGGATGGCTCAATAGTTAGTACTTGCAGGTTAGATTGTCAGACGTGTCTAGGCCAGAACCAAGGGCTCAACTGCCTGGGCTTCCCAATAGGAACCTGTAGACACAAGAATGTTCCAACATTAATTGTGAGGTTCATCTTGTTCCATCACTCCCTCTGACCCAAAGCTTACCATTCTCCCCTAGCTGACACGGCTTCCTTGCGTACTAATCTCTTCTTGTCATCTAGAGGCTTGGCTAAGGCCCGGATCACCTGTGGTTTATATGGCAGTAGCTGTGGAGTCACAGGAAATCACCTTAGTCTTGGTTGACTGTGGGCAATGGAAAATGCTGCTTCTGTGACACTAAATCACATTCTGAAGAAAGTGAAATAAGCCCCATTTTTTTGATTGCTAAGGTGTGAACCCAGGACTTCAGATGTGTTAAATACACACAGGGTGCCCTACTGGATGATTCCCAAAGGATGCCAAATAGCGGGATGGCCACTCTGTTACAGGTTGGCCAGGATTTAATGGATCTATTCTGAGGCCAAGGGAGAAAAAAATCTATGCCTACGTGTACTGTGTATGTGATTACTATTTCCATTATACAGAGTAGTCATTAATCTCATTCAAAGGCAAAAGGGTACTTCTCGAAACTGCAGAGATGACTCAGCAGTCAGAGTGCTGGCTGGTTTTACAGAGGACCTGGGTTTCCCAGCACCAACATGGCCGATAACAGCCATTTATAACTCCAGTTCCAAGGGATTTGATGTCCTCTTCTGACACGAGTGCACTTACACAGCTAATATGCAATACACTCATACATATAAAATAAAAATCTATTTTTTTAAAAAAGGTACTTCTTAGCCAGTGTGGCAGTACATACCAATAATCCTAGCACTTGGGGGGTAGAGGCAGGATGATCAGGAGTTTAAGGCCAGCCTCACAGAAGTCTCACAGACCTGCCTGAATGACATGAGACCTTGTTGCAAATACTTCTGGCTTTTATAAGACTTCCCACAGAGGGGCTGGAAGGATGGCCCAGTGGTTAAGAGTACTTACTGGTTGCTCCTGGAGAGGACCCAGGTTTGATCCCCAGCACCCACATAGTGGCTAGCAACTGTAGCTCTAGTTCCAGGGGAATCTGATGCCCTTTTCTGACTTCTGTGGGCATTGCATGACACAGGTGCACTTACATATATGTAGGCAATACACTCATATACATAAAATTAAAATGTTAAAATATTTAAGACTTACCACAGGAGTGGGTAGGTGAGTGAGAGCATTCATGCACTGCAGTGCAGCAATCCGGACAGCCTGGAACACAAACACAGAGGTGAGGGAGACCCAAGGAGAAAGGTACTTGAAGAGGTGCTGGGGCTCAGCATACCATGGAAGGGCTGGAGCTGAGGTTCAGAAATTTGGTAACCAGAGTATCAATGTGAAGACTCATAATTTGTGGTGCTTCCAGTAGAAGAGGCTGAAGGCAGCTGAGGGTAGAAAGCTGGACCACAGAGTCAGTGCAGGATAGCGCCTCCAGCAGCAAGGAAAGGAGCTAAGGAGCAATGTGAAATAAGATTACCATATTATAATGCTCCTGGATCTCCCCCTTCTAGACCCTGCCATGGAAAAACAGCTTTGTTCCTTGCTGAGGCTGACTGTAGTAGCACTTACTGTGGGCAGCTCTGGTAAGAGCACAGGCTTGGGCAGCCTGTTCAGTACATGAGACAGACCCTTCAAGTAGTTTGGCTTCACATCTGTAAAAAATAGAAAAAATGCTTAGAGAAACTGGGTTTAAACATTCAGTTTGAGAATTAAATCTAACAAGGTAGGGACACCAGCTTATTAAAAAAGTAGTACTATGTGGTAGCTTAAGCCTCTAAACCTAGTCTCAGCTAAGGAGGCTAAGGCAGGAGGCCAGCTGAAGCTATAGAATGAGACTATCTTAAAAGCCAAAAAAAAAAATTGGGGCTAGAGGGTTTCATTGGTAATTGGCTTGCTAGTACAATGTGAGGACTTGAGTTCTGTTCCCCAGTAACTCAAAGAAAAAGACCAGTAGGGTGGTACACATCTGTAATCTGAGCTCTGGGGAGGTGGAGATGATACCTGGGGCTGGCTAGCCAGTGTACCTGAATCTTTGAGCTCTATGTCCAGTGAGAAATCCTGTCTCAAATAAGGTGGAAAGCCATAGAAGACAACTGGGCTGACAAGATGGCTCAGTGGATAAAGCAACTATCACTAAACCTGATGATCTGACTTTGACCCCTAAGACCCAAATGTTGGAAGGAAAGACTGCCACATGTGCACCACAGCATTTATGACCACACACACACACACACACACACACACACACACGTGTACACAGTGGTAAACAATAAAACCTTCTGGGTTCATAATAAGATGTACGCATTAAAGGAAAAAGTGGGGTAGAAGTGTGACCCTCTATATACAGACCACAGAATAGCTCTGTGGCTGAAACATTCAGGTTTTAAATTACTTTAGGGTCTTCGGGCAAGAAGAAAGGTCCATGTACTAGGAAACCATCTTTTAGACTCCTCACCTTGGGGAGCAGCATGGAAACCTTGGACTAAATCAGGTACGTTATCCGTGAAGAACCGCTGACGGAACATGATCCGCACGTCAGCATGGCAGGCTCGGGTCAGCACATCAGTGCAGTCAGACATAAGCAGAGAGAAGCCATCAGCTGCTGCAGGGCCTAGTTCTGGATCACTCAGAAGGCCCATGAGCTGGCAAAAAAGAGAGCCTTTGAAGTATGCCAGGGAGAAAAGTCAAGTACCAAAGAGGAGGATGGAAGTTGTTTCCTTTGAATAGGAGAGCAATGGGGTCAACAGGGAAGTTCCTGTTTAGGTTCTAGTTCTGCCTCAGAAAGGACTTACCCGGGCTGTAAGGCAGGAGCTGAGAGGATGGTATCTGAGTACTAAAGCCTTGGTCACCTGTAATCAGAGAAAGAGCAGTCAGGGCCTGACATTCAAACTCCAGAACCCTGAGGCACAGCTGCTATGTGTGGCTCAAGGTCAAATAGGGACACTTAAATTATTTAATTAGACATAACTGTCTGTGTCTAGACAGCATCTATGTTTCTTCCTTACCCAGAGTAGTAGTGTAAAAGCCTGACTACGAGAGGACCCAGCGCCTAAGCCGGCCTCCACTGTGTCTACAGCAAGCTGGAGGAATTCATCCAATTGCTGCCCTAAAAAGGAAGGAGGGCATGTTGGTACAATAGCAACACAATGTTTTCCTTTAATGACAAAGGATATAAGTCATTTAAGTGCAGAGCACCATTAGAAAGAGATAATTAAGATGACAGGATGCTAGCAGGAGAACCTGGCATAGTACACTCAACATAAAGGGGCTGGTGCTTGAGAAGAGAGGGCTGTCTACTCCAATGAAGCTTATGATATCATCATGGTGGGAATAAGACAGAGGAGCAAGCTGAACATACTTCGGCCTCAAAGCCTATCTGAGGATAGCAGGTGAAACCCTATTAGTCATGAGTAAGCTCCTTTAAGGAGAACAGGACTGAACTTGAAGATTTCATCACTGTGTGGCACAGGGAGGCTCCTGACCCAGGCCCATTCCAGTACCTGCAGGGTGCTTGTTGAGAAGTCCTGCAAAGCACTTGGCGGCAGCAGTGGAGGAGAAGGGACAGCCAGGACAGCAGCTCAGTTCCAAAAGCTCCCTCATGAGTTGGGTCAGTTGAGGGATTTCCACCTATAGAAAACCTGGCCATGTAATGGACCCAGAAGACACTTGAACTCCAAGAGATATTCAACAGAAAGTGACATGAGAGATTATGAGAGTACAGAAGAGAACTAACTTCTCTAGTGGGAAAGCAAAAGATCAGCTTAGCCTATGGCAATTTTAGCCCAGAGGTCACTTGGGTTCCCGTGTCCCAAATGTACTCACATTTCGTGGCAGGGAGCAGACAAAAGCCATAAGAAGTACAACCAGCCGCCTCTGCCTGGAGCAGCCATCCTGTGAAGGAAGAAAAGTTCCACTGTTCTTGTCCTACCAGGAATAGGCATGCATGCCCCTAGGCCCATCCAGAATAGTCCTAAAAATTAAGTTTGAAGGACATAAATTCCAAGGCTTTCCATCAGAGCTATTAGACTATCACCTGGAATGGCTGGAACCGGCTTGGGAAGCTGTTTTCAGGAAGAAAGGAGATGTTGCCATCTAAGAAGAGGGGCACAATGCGGGTGACACTCTGGGCAGCTAACCTGGGGACAGAGTACTAGGTGTTATCAAGAAGCTAGGATTAAAAAAATTTTACTTATGTGTATGTCTGTGCACATGTGTCTGCATATGTGTGCAGGTGTGTGCAGAGGCCAGAAGAGGGCAATTAATCCCTAAGAGCTGGAGTTAGAGGCATTTGTGGGACACCCAGCTTGTTATGTGGCTGCTGGGATTCAAACTCCCATCCTTAAGGCTGTGCACTAAATGCTCTTAACCACTGAGCCATCTCTCCAGCCTCAGGGGTCACTGGGCCAAGAGGATAAGTTATGATCATTCACATATTCAACATGTTAATTGGGCATATACCATGTGCTCCAAACCATTTCTAGTCTAGTCTCTGGCAATACAGAATTGAACACTTATCTTCTTAGAGCTTATAATTTTGTGAAGAATTCAATGAATTTTCTTTTTTTTTGAGACAGGGTCTCCCTATCTCAGCTTGCCTGGAACTCAATATATAGATCAGGCTGGCCTCGCTCCCACAGAAATCTGCCTGCCTCTGCCTCCTGAGTGTTGGGATTAAAGGTGTACACCACCATGCCAAGCTCAATGAATATTTTTCAAATGTTGTACAGGTGATCTGTAATAAGAAAGTTGACCCATACCAACTCCATAGTCCCTGGCGCTAAAAGCTCTTTTGCTTTGCCATCAAACTTAGAAAACAAGTAACTTCCTTCACATTTACATTCAAGTACAAGGGCAGCTGGCAAGGCAGCCATCTGTGGTTTCCTATCAAGAATGTTCTCTCCTTCCCTAGGGTTCAAGCTACACTCACAGTCATACTCACTCAGAGCTCAGGTGGATAGTGGCAGTGCTGATGACAGATGCCAAGGCAGCTAAGACCTCATCTTCCAATAGTACTTTTCTCAGAACTGAGGAGTCCTCTGTAAAAACAAGACACCTACAAATGTACATATTCAGAACCACAAGACTGCTACTGTGGTTCAGAAATCCAAATCTGAGCTAATGCGGCCTATAATAACAGCATTTATGAGGCTGAATCAGGACTGTGGGTTTGAGGTTAAGTCTGAGCTAAATAGCAAGACCCTGTCAAAAAGGGAGAAGGAGAAAGGAAAGAAAACAGTGGAAGGAAGAAATTCAAATTGGTCCTTGTTTTCCTTGTGACAGGCTGACGCCAACCTTAAGAGCAAGCAATAATATTTTTTGGGGGATGACAGAGGGATAGAGTCCTATATAGACCAGGCTGGACTTGAACTCTTCTTGCTCCTCCTCCTTTCACTTCCTAAATTATGGGATTACAGGAGTGAGCCACCACACCTGGTGAGAGCCAATACTTTTGGCAGAAGTGCTGTAGTTGTGAGAACCCACAGGGCACCGGAAACTGCACTGGTTTACCCTAGGGCTTCTAGAAACATTGTGCATAGGGCTTAGGGTAGTCAACAGTGGAAAATGAGCTCAGCTAATACAGGCATTCTTGATATCAGAAGTATTGCTGGTCTTTTAGAAAATTTTCAAACATGGGCTTATCTTTATGGGACCTTACCTACAGCATTATAACACTGAGTACTTATCACACAGTAAATTAGAGCTACATAGCATCTTTTTAATCTTCACCAACAATACAGATAGGGTGCTTTATTCCACATGTTATAGATGAGGGAGGTACACTCAGAAAAGCTGAGTATCTTCTAAGTTAGGAAGCTGAAGATGAAACTCATCCAAGCCATCTGGACTCCAAAGCCCAATTCTAATAAGTCAATAACTCAGCAATTAAAGACAAAGTATTTGGGGCTGGAGAGATGGCTCAGTGGTTAAAAGTACTGGAACCCAGGTTTAGTTCCCAGAACCCACAGAGCAGCTAGCAACTGTCCTTAACTCCAGTTCCAGGAGATCCAACACGTTCTTCTGACCTCTTTGAGCACTGTATAACATGGGTGCACTTATACACATGTGGGCAATATACTCATAAAATAAAAATAAGTAGCCGGGTGTGGTGGCACATGCCTTTAATCCCAGCACTTGGGAGGTGGAGACAGGTGGATTTCTGTGGGTTCAAGGCCAGCCTGGCCTTATATAGTAAGGTCATCTGGGGCTACAGGGAGAACCTGTCTCAAAAACACCAAAAAAAAAAAAAAAAAGTAAAATATTTTTAAAAACCCCACAAAATATGCATCCCTTTGCTGCTAATACCACTGAATTCTGGTTGCTGTCATTGGTCATGCTGGCATTCTTTGTCTAAAAGTGAAATTTCACTTGGGGACAAAGGATTGAAAATCAAAATTAACCTGACCGTAGAAAATGCAGTGCCACCCAAACCCAGGAAGTGGTGGTGCTGTCCAATGCTAGTGGAAGGGAGACTTCTAAGAGGATAGAGAAAATTACCTGGCATGGAAGCCTGTACAGCCAAAGCAAACAGGCAGGGTAGAGCAGTCTCATGGAAATACCAGCAGCTGTCAGGGTCCCGGTGGCATTTTTCTGCCACCTGCTGGAGACTCTGGCAGATAGCAATAATGTCATTGAATCCTATAACCACATTTCCTGTGTGGAAAGAAATCAATATTCTCTGTAAGGTTTTCCCCAAAGCTCTTCCAGCTATTTTTCCTATTTTTTCCTTTCCTTCCCTCCCCCCTGCTCCTATGTTTTAAGACAGAGTCTCACTATGTAGCCCTGGCTGGCCTGGAACTATGTAGACAAGCCTAGCCTCAAAGTCAGAGATCTGTGTGGCTTAGCCTCTCAAGTGCAGAGATTAAATGTGTGTGCCATCATGACTGGCCTTTTTTTTTTTTTTTCTTTTAACAGGTATTTCCAATACAGCAGATGGAAAGAATAGTCAAAGACAATGACTGAAAGAAGACAGGATTTTGAGTATTCTTAAAACACAAGAAAAGAACAAATATGCTGGGTGTGGTGGTTACACCTTTAATCCCAGCACTCAGGAGACAAGAGGCAGGTGGATCTCTGTGAGTTCAAGGCCAGCCTGGTCTATATAGCAAGTTCCAGGCCAGCTGTGACTACAAGGATACCTTGTCTCAAAAAGACCAAAACGGGGTGGGGGGTGAGAGGGCTGAGGGAATGAAGAAATCGCTCAGCAGTTAAGAGCAGTGGTTGCTCTTGCACCGGGTTCAGTTCCCAGCACCCACACAGTGGCTAAAAACCGTCAGTTGCAAGGGATTCAACATCCTCTTCTGTGGACATTGCATGACATGGGTGGACTTAAATGGAGGCAGTACACACATACACATACAATAATTTAAAAATAATGAATTTTTTTTTTCAAAGGGGTTGAAGCCGGGCGTGGTGGTGCATGCCTTTAATCCCAGCACTAGGGAGGCAAAGGCAGGAGGATCTCTGTGAGTTCAAGGCCAGCCTGGTCTATTTAGTGAGTTCCAGGTCAGCTGGGGCTACAGGGAGACCAAAAAAAAAAAAAACCAAAAAGAGGGAGGAGGGGTTGGAGAGATGGCTCAGTGGTTAAGAACACTTGCTGTTCTTCCAGAGAACCTGGGTTCGATTCCCAGCACCCACAAGGCAGATAGCAACTATAACTCCTGTTCTAGAGAATCCATCACCCTCTTCTGATCTCAGGCATTGTAACATGGGTGCACTTACATACATGAAAGCAAAACACTCATACACATAAAATAAAAATAACAAATATTAATACATATACCAATTACTTTTTTTTTTGTCTCACTATAGCCATAGTTGGCCTGGAACTCTCTATGGCGACCAGGCTGGCCTTGATCTCAGAAATTCACTTGCCTCTGCCTCCCAAGTGTGGGATTAAAGATAAGCACCACCAGGCACAGCCAATATATTAATTACTCTTATCTGGGGGTTATACATGGTATATTTGTATTGTTTCTTTCATTTAAAAAAAATTTACTTTTTTCTTTCTTTTCTCTTTTTTGGTGTATTTGGTTTTGTTTTGGTTTGTTTTTTGAGTCAGGGTCTCCCTGTAACCCCAGCTTGCTCATGTCTCTGCCTGCTGTACTTGTATTGCAATGTCACACTGTATACCACAAACATTTATCAACCTACTGTATTACTATATATACAATTACAATGCATCAATTTTTAGAGAGCTGACCTTTCACTCTTATGTACAAATGCAATTAGAACCACTGCCTTACTATTCCTAGCCCCATGAATTACCTTTGTTTGCCTGCCAGAGATGCTGCAGCAGCAGAGGCAGTGTCTCCTTGACAATGCTAGGATGTGTTGAAACAGCTGACAAAGCTTGCAGACAGAGGAGATGCCGGGAACATTTGTTGGGACCATGCTCTCTAGTCACATCTAACTCCCCTAAAAGCAATCAGTGAGAAAAAGTTTCACTGTGCAATGGTGTGAAGGCCCTCCCTACAAAGCCTTGCTGGTAAGGGCTGGATAACTGATTAGCCACACATACCTCTCTGCAGCTCTTTAGCAAGCTTAGGTAGGAGGTAGCTGCTGAAGGCTCCAGGATAGAAAGAGGCAAGGGCTCCTGATGCCTCCAGTGCTGCCATCCTACTGGGAACACAGAGTAGAAGAGCATTAGCTGAGCCTTGGCCCACTCTTCTCTTGCCAAGGCCAGAGAGCAGGCAGATCCAGGAGTGTGGGCTCTCATGGCTAACTTGCAAGATGCAAGTACCTACGACAGTTAGACAAGGCTTCTTAATGTCTAAGAAAAGAGAGTAGTCCCACATCTTTCCAACCACTTTCTAGCCAGAGCCACATAGAAGCACAGAAGCCTGGCCCATACTGCATCTGTTGCTGATGATACAAAGTCAGGGGCCATATTGTTCTACCACACTGTCTTAGATTCTCACCAACTCTGGGAGTCTTCCTCCAGGAAGCTCAGTCTGTACAGGTGACCTATTGCCAGCTCCAAGTCCCCAGAAGATAGGAGATCTATGGTTAGAAGGGAATATTAATCTCATATTTCTTTCCCTGCAGGTACAATAACCCTCTAAAAAAAAAATCCCATTATCATCCCCAAATGACCCAGTATTGTAGTGAGAACAGGGTTAATGAGACTGCTCTTCATCTAAGACAGATAATCACAAGGAAGGGCTCAATACCCTTCCTTATCATTTCTCCTTCAAGATGTACCTGGCTGGGCACCCAAGACTGTGAGCGTCCGGATGCCAACAAGCTGAAGCTGGGTGCTGGGGTCTGTTATGGCCATGAATACCAATGAGCACAGCTGGTCCTTGAAGCCACTCAGAGGTCTTTCATCTAGGGAGAGACAGAGGCCAGGTTAGAAGGGTTTATAGCCCATATCCGTGACTCAGCAGTGCTGCAGACAACTTGGGGCAGATTTTATGAGTGAGTTCAAACCACTGGGTCTGAGCTCACAAATCACAATGGAAAATGACATATCCATTCAGTGTGGTCTTGTGATGCAACCTCTAAATAGAAGCATTCTTCTAGACTACTCTGTAGCACTGTGCCCTGCTATCCCTCCTGGGATACAGGGTTCAACAGTCATTCAGAACACTTCAACTGGAAAGTGACCTCACCTTTGTCTTCATAGCTCCATTTCTGCTGCAGCTTTAAGAAACCCAGGATCATTTCAAGGATTGTCCGCCGCTGGTTGCTCTGTAATGTTTCAAGGGGTACTGGAGTCAAAGAATAGTTTAAAGGATTTCAATTCTGATATTCTGGAACTAGGGAAAATATTCCTTTATTCTAGAGTGAGTCTACAAAAGAATAAATAAGGGAACATACAACAGCTAATGGGAGAAAACCCCAGCTCTACCTGGGTCGAAACTAGAGCTTCAGTCTCCCCGAGAAAGGGACCTTAACACTCAAATCCCATCATTTCCTCCTTACCTGACTGTGCTTATGGAACTGTTCCAGCAGCAAGGGAAGTACATTGCTGGTGATGTGGTCACAGGCCCGGGCAGATGCACCTGCAGCTGTCTGCAGCAGCTTGGCACTAGGCCATACCAGCTTCATGTCTGGTTCACATAGATGGTGCCTGCAGTCTAGAGAAGCAGCAGTCACAGACCTGGGGAGTAGGCCAGATACTGCCTGATTCCCCTATACCCATATAGGTTGGAGACTGACACCTGAACTTATCTGCTAGCAGTTACCATTCAAGTTGTCTTCTATTCAAGTAAGACTGCAGTCCTCAAATCATTGAACACATGGTGGCTACCCATGAAGGTTCACTGGCCCTTAAGTAATGTTAGCTCTATGTGCTCACTCCCCTTGTTGGCTCCTTGGTCCAATTACCCTGTAGAATGTTGCTAAGAAAGGAATTAAGGAGGTCCTCAGCATCAGCCCTCAGCACAGATCGAGACAAACACGCAGTCAGGGAATGGAGGGCTGCCAGCCCCTCTGCCTCCACTCGTTCACTTGCTGTCTGGAACACCTGTCAGGAAAGATCCCATGGCTACTGAGGTGAGCTTGCACCAGATGAGGTCTGACCCATCCATTGTCCTTTTCCTTGAGGTGGGCAGGAGTATGTGTTTGAAAATGGGGGAGAGTAATGGCAAGACCTACAACCTAGCACTTTCTCCCTTGGTTAAGCTCATAAAGCACACTGTTCCACTAGAAATGATATACACACTTGGCAAGAAACAAGATACCAATGCTGACCAGTGGTTATTGTGATCTCAACTTTAAGGCTCTTTCTCTCATCTATATCTAGATGGTGCCAGAAGCACCATGACTCATGCTCCTTGTCATGAGAGGACAGGAAGACCTCCTGTGCAAAGGTGGTCATATACTATTAACAAACAGCCCTCACAAAGGAAATGCCTCCCATGTCTTTTAGATAGAAATATATCCCCTTATTTGCTTACTGAAAAATCAAACAAGAGTACCTGACCATGGGGGTGATAGGGAAGACAGCAGGGTATATTATTTCCCTTCATGCCTGGCAACTCTCTGTTAACAGTAGTGAATTTTCCTAACTAACACTCACCTCTCTGCGGATGGAAGCCCAAAGGCTGGGGAGGAAGTCCTTTAGTTCCTTCTGTCCATACACAGCACAGCAAGCATTCTGCCAAAAGAACCACAGGCATCAGCTAGTTCACACTTAAGATACTCAGAGATAGGGCTGGAGAGATGGCTCAGCAGTTAAGAACACTGGTTGTTCTTGCAGAAGACCCAGGTTCAAATCCCAGCACCCACACGGCAGCTAACAACTGTCCCAACTCCAGTTCCAGGGGATCCGACAACCTCTTCTGTCCTCCGTGGGCACTACATGACATGGGTACACTTACCTACATGCAGGCAGTACACGTATACACATAAAATAAAAATAATATACCCTTTTCCACAAATCCAAAAAGCAAAGAGAACCCTGGTCAGTTTTTAGTTACAGGGTGAGACAGCATGCCTGTAGCTGGGTGTGTAGATCAATATATAGGCCCCAATCTTGGCCCATGAAGTCCACAAACTGACCTCTGGGCTAAGAACCTGTGTCTTTTAGTACCACTAACTTGCATAAAGGTAGCTGGATCCTATAGGGATAAATACTCACCAAGGTTTGCAGAGAATCCAATTTGGCACTTAGAATTTCAGAATCTACTTTCTCAATCAGCAGGGGAAGCAGGAACTGTGGGAAAGAAGGAAAAATTTAAGCCCCATATAGGAAGTATCTTAGCCACAAGGCTAACCGTATCCTTACTGCCATTAGTACTAGGGACAGGCACTACATCAAGGAGCTAAACTCAAGCCAGTTTAGACTGCAAACTAACTTTGCTGCCAAGCTGCTGTTACATAATGAGCAAATCAGCAAAGCTAAAGGATTTCAAAAGAATACTGTCTATAGAAGGGGTTCATATTTTAGGGGATAAGATAATCAAATCTCCTGTAGTAAAAGTCTGAAGATATTTGACACACAAGCAGTTGAAGGATGCCATACCCTAAAACATACACTAAAGCCTTCTTTCTCTCCATGCTTTTACTGTTCTTTCCTTAGAGCTTTCTCTGGACAGAGACTATGCCCTAACTTAGACCAGACCCACCTCAGCAAATCGTGGTGTAGAAGCCAGCACAGCACGAAGACTCAGGATGAGATCATCTCTCTGGATGCCATAGGGATCATTTGGTGGCTGGAAAGGGAGAAGGCCTATGGATTTGCAGTTTTCAGAGCACTTTTGAACATAAATTTGAACCAGAATAAGTGATGCTTAAATCTAATCTAGCACAACAGTACATCATGAGGCCCCAGCAATAAGACATGCTTATTCTTATAGGTCCCTTGAGAATTTTTGGCTTTTTGGTATTTATTTTTGGTAATGCTAGCACTGAATTCAGGGCCTTGCACAAGCCAGGCAATCACTCTACCACTAAACTACCATACGTAGGCATTTAAAAAAAAGAAAAGAAAAAAAAAAAAAAATCACACCACACATTGTATTTCCCCTACAATTTTATTTTGGTGTTTTAAGGCAGTCTTTATGTAGTCAAGGCTGGCCTTGAACTCACTCAACTTCTTAAGCTACCACACCCAGTGATCACATATTCTCTATCTAATCTATTGTTTTAATACTTAGAGATAAGCCCCCTTATCTGTCAGCTATATTGCTTTCTTCTCTATCCATATTAATATTACTGTTAGTATAAATTGTACAAATATATACATTTCAAAACATGATTGACTTATCAAATGTTTTTTTATGTTTTTACTTAATACATTAAGAGCACTTAAAATTTTTAATTAATTAATTTTATGTGTAGGAGTGTTTTGCCTGCATGTGAGTATGTAGGTGGGTGTACTACATGCATGCGATGCCTACAGAGGGCCTTGGAACTGGAGTTTCAGACTGGGAAGCTAACCCAAGTCCTCTGCAAGAACAGCTCTTTCAGCTCTTTTTTTTTTTTTTTTTTTTTTTTTAATCTTTTTGAGACAGGGTCTCCCTGTAGCCCCAGCTGGCCTGGAACTCACTAGGTATACCAGGCTGGCCTTGAACTCAGAGATCTGCCTGCCTCTGCCTCCTGAGTGCTGCGACTAAGGTGTGCGCCACCACATCTGCTGCAAGAACAGCTCTTTACTAGTGCTCTTAACTGCTGAGCCATCTCTCCAGGCCCTAAGAATTTTTTTGTGAGGCAAGGTTTCCTATAGCTCAGGCTAGCTTGGAATGCCCTCTGTATCCAATGCTAGCCTTGAACTTCTGATCCCCTGCCTCTACCTCCCAAGTGCTAGGATTACAGAAATGTGTCACTATAGCTAGTTTATGTAGTACTAAAATTGAATATAGGACTTTGGGCATGCTAGATAAGCACTCTCTGAGTTACATATCCAGCTCCATTAAGAGCATTTTTAATGGTATTATTCTTTATTTTTAATTTATTATTTTTAGTTAATGTATATGAGTGTATTGCCTAAATGTATGTAAGTGTATCTGTGTCGTGCAATGCCTGAGGAGTTCAGAAGAGGGCGTTGGAACTGGAGTTACAGATGACAGTTAACTACCATGTGGGTGCTAGGAACTGATCCAGGTCCTCTGCAAGAGCAGACAGTGTTCTTAACAGCTGAGCTCTCTCTCCAGTCCCAGAATGGTATTATTCTTTCATAACATTACTTTTAGTAGCTAATACTACTTCATTGTAGGATCATAAACTGAGCCACAGTTTATGTAAGTAATGTTTTCTCTGATAGATATTTCTATTTTTTTCACTTGTATAAAAAACTAATTTTCAACAACATAAAAAAGTATTGATAAACTGAGCATAGTGGCATACCCCTTTAAACCCAGCACCCAGGAGACAGAGGCAGGCTGATCTCTGTGAGATCAAGGCCAGCCTGGTCTCCATAGCAAGTTCCAAGCCAGCTGGCGCTATAGGGAAATTCTGTCTCAAACACACAAAATCTTAAGGAAAACTCTCCTATCCAAGAGTGAGAGCAAAAGTTAGAGAGTAAGAAGCCAGGCATGGTATTATATACCTGTAATCCTAGCACTCAGGAGACTAAGGCAGAAGAGTTGCTACAAGTTCAAGGCCAGCTTGGTCATAGACCAAGACTTTGTCTCAAAACAAAAAAATCCAACCACCAAATGAAACAAAGTAACCTACAAGTTACTTTTGCCTGAATTATTCCTGGCAAAAAAAAGCCAGCAACAGAGATTGTTGCTAAAGAAGTGGATGTGGCAGGAAAGGAATATGAGAATATTAAATCTCTATCCTTTAAGTGTTGAATTGTACTGATTATCTTTCAAAAAAAAAAGAATGAAATATTCTTCTCTTCTCTAATTACAAATACATATATTCCTTGACCCAGCAATTCAATTTTAGTAATCCTATTTATACCTATATGTATATAAAAGTTGCAGCATAAAGCCAGGCATGGTGACAAACACCTGTAATTCCAGCACTCAAGAAGAAAGCAGGTAGATCTCTGTGAGTTCAAAGCCAGCCTGGTTCATTAGCTTATTCTAGGCCAGCCAGTGTTGCATAGTAAGTCTCTGCCTCAAAAAAAAAAAAAAAAAAAAAAAAAAAGTTGCAGCAGGAGTTGGACCCCCAGCAGTGCATAAAGCTAGTCATGGTGGTACCTGCCTGTAATCAGAATATTTGGGATGTGGAGGCAGGAAGATCAGAAATACAAGGTCATCCTATAAAAATGGTTGCATTGGGCTGGAAAGATGGCTCAGCAGTTAAAAGCACTGGCTGCTCTTGCAGAGGACCTGGGTTCAATTCCTATCACCTACATGGCAGCTAACAATCGTCCATAACACCAGTTCCAAGGAATCCAACGCCCTCTTCTGACCACCATGGGCATTTCACTACACAGGTGCACTTACATACATGCAGGCAATACATGAATACACATAAGATAAAATAAAAATAAAAATAAATAAAATATTTTTAAACAGTTGCAGCATTGTTGGTAACAGCAAAAAAGTAATAACAGCTGTAATAGTATCCTATGGAGCATTAGTGAAATTAATCTATTACACAAAGAGGCATGCTAAGCAGCCATAAAAAATGAACAACCGCTGGGCGTGGTGGTGCATGCCTTTAATCCCAGCACTTGGGAGGCAGAGGCAGACGGATCTCTGTAAGTTCAAGGCCAGCCTGGTTTACATAGTGAGTTCCAGGACAGCTGGGGCTACAGGGAGACCCTGTCTCAAAAAGACCGAAAAAAAAAAAAACTGACCTATTGTGTTGATATTACTTATAATCCCAGCCCTTGGGAAGCTGAGGCAGGAGGATGACTAAGAGTTACAGCCTAGGCTACATAGTGAGTTCAAGGCCAGCCTGAGCTGCACAGTGAGACCCTACCTCAAAACAAAGCAAAAAGAATGAGAAAGTTTATTTGTATACTGATTTTGAACATTCTCTAAGACATACTGTTAAGTGAAAAGAGAAGGAAATGTGTATGTGACCAATGAGTGTCAGAGAATTTATTTATATACAAGTATGAAAATGTTCTGACTTAAGAAATAAAATTTGTTCACTATGTAAAAAGCCGCAGTGGTAGATTTTTCATCCTTGGTTATTCTTTTAACTTTTTAGTTTATGATTTGGACATACACAATAATCCACAAAGTGAAGGTCAGAGGACAAGTCTGTGGAGTCAGTTCTCTCCTATCTTTTATGTGGGCTCTGCGAATAGAACTCAGGTGGTCAGGCTTGTTTGGCAAGGGCTTTTACCTGCTGAAGCATCTCACTGGCGGTATTATCTTTTCAAAACTAAAACACACACACACCCCACCCCTAAAAAAAGGGGAAATCAGAAAAATCTGGTAGCTGAAGTAGCACCTTTGAACATTTCAAAGGTATAAGTTCTTCTGAGTTATAAAGGTTATTGATTATGAAGGCTGGGCATGGTGGTCCAAGCCTTTAATCTCAGCACTTGGGAGGCAGAGGCAGAGGCAGGCAGATCTCTGAGTTTGAGGCCATCCCTGTCTATATAACAAGTTCCAGGCCAGCTGGGGCTACAGGGAGACCCTGTCTCAAAAAGACAGAAAAAAAAAAAAAAGAAAGAAAGAAATGAAAATAATTTCAGGAGGTAGTCCAACATGAAGCTAACTAAAATAAGCTAGTAAGTGATCTTCTCTAACAAAGATGGCTGTGGAGGTCAATACTCCAACATTGGCATGCTGTAACAGAGCTTTCATTTCTTCTACATTACTAATGCTTGCAACACAGATACCAACACAGCCCACATAGTGACAAGGCCCTGTGTATCTGACAGTAGAAGGGAAATCAAAAGCACAGTGGGTGGAAGGCTCATGAGGGTCAGAGCAAACATCTCTTGTACATGCTGTGTTCAACCATGCCATTTGGTTCTGTGAATTTGTTTCTATCACCTGAGATGCTCTCTCCAAGTATAGAATTATATCAGACACGTTCCTCAGAAACCAACCTAAATCTTATCTATGAGGTCAGTTCCTGTCAACTGTAGCACATGCTGAACCCTTGTGTTTTCAGAACAATTATAGCACCACTCATTTTGGTACTTAATCTCATACTATTACCTCAATGTTTCAGTCTTCAAGGGCAGGGACTATGGTTTATAATCCTGTAATAAGTACACTGTTTAGGAACTTAAGGAGCCCTCTCAGATATCTGCTGAGTTGAATCCTTCCTCTAATGTCAAATGTTTCTCCATTTCCCAATTCATTAAAATATAAATCCATGAGAACTTTAAAATGGAAATATGGGTTAGGGAAATAGCTCAGTGGATAAAGTGTCAGTCTGAGCTACAGATCCCATAAATATCAGGCATGGTGGTACATATCTATAACTTTAGCATGGGGTGGGAGGTGCGACGGAGAACAAGAGGGCAGTGGCAGGGAGACAAGTGGATCCCAGGTGCTCACTGGCCAGCCAGTCTAGTCAAAAAGGCAAGTTCCAGGTTCAGTGATAGACCCTATCTGAAAAAATAAAGTGGAAAGGGATAGAGAAAGACAACCAACATCAGCCTCTACCCTCCATACACACATACACACCCTACACACACAAGCACATAAATAAATACATTTAAAAAATATAAGTCCAGGGATTGTCTATTTTGTTCACCTGTAGTCCTAGTGCCTAGGGCCTACATATAGCAGGTACTCAATGAGATCTGATAAAGAATGAAGGCTCTACTTACAGGGGTAAAATCAATAGGGAAATAACAAGATGTCACTTCAAATAACTCTTCCACAAAAGGTCCTGTGAAAACAAAGAATTAGGGTGATTTAGGTTAATTCACCTAAGAAAAGTTCAACCTGCCTATTCATTGCTACCAAGACAACCAAGACATACCCAGGCTATAGTCCCTGGAAATGAGGTCATGGACGATGTGGAAAGCAACCAGAAGATTACGGGGATCCTTTTCTCCATCCATCACCTGGATGAAGCCAAATGTGAAGTCAGCTCCTAGGTCTTTTAACTCTGGGAAGGAGAGAACAAGGTCACTGCTGTCCCATGGAATAGAAGGCAAGCTTGGGCTCTCTCCTGCTGTCACTTGGTCTCCTTTCCTGCTTGGCAGAGAAGGCTCTTTTGTTTTTAAATTAATTCAGAGAAGTACTCAGGGAAGAGATGTACAAATCTTTGTGTATGCATGCACACATGCACGTGGTTTTTTTTTTTGGTCTTTTTGAGACAGGGGCTCCCTGTAGCCCCAGCTGGCCTAGAACTCGCTATGTAGACCAGGCTGGCCTTGAACTCATAGAGATCTGCCTGCCTCTGCCTCCCACGTGCTGGGATTACAGGTGACCACCACCACACCCAGCTGACATGCATGTGTATTTTCAGAAGTCCAGAATTAAAAACTGAGCTGGCATTGTGGCACACGATCTTAATCCCAGCACCCAGGAGGCAGAGGCAGGCAGATCTCTGTGAGATTGAGGCCAGCCTAGTCTACAAAGTGACTTCCACGCCAGCTATGGCTACAGGAAGACCCTGTCTCAAAAAAGATCATAAATTAATTAATTTAATTTAAAAAAAACCCTTTACTACACTAGACAAGTGAACCCCATGTCTTTCTTCATCATTCCTCAGAGTATTGGCCTTTGCACACAACACCTAGGTTAAAATATATCCTACTCATGAGGGAAAAGGTAGCAACTTCTTGCTTTTCAGATTAGAATCCTGCCTCTTACCTTCTTCTCGGGATTGCATGAAGTTGGTGATGATACTGAACACTGTGTGGCGATCCACTTGTAGCAGGGACTTCAGGGTGGGGAAGAAAGAAAATAAGTGAAGAAAATGCTCAAAGAATATTTATTTATTGATTGATTGATTGGTCTTCCTGAGACAGGGTCTCCCTGTAGCCACAGCTGGCCCTGAATGCAGGAGATTTGCCTACCTCTGCGTCTCAAGTGCTGGGATTAAAGGCAGGCATGCACCACCATACCTGGCCCTCAAAGAATACTTTAAAGGACAAAACTACTTCCTGTTTCACACCCTCTAAGTGGATAATTCTCTTCAAACCAGGATATGACCAAGGTAAACAGAGCTTTAGAGAAGGGCATGACTATAGATCTAGAGTTGTGATGCCTGTAACCCAAACCTGTTTCATACATGCCTTAGATTCTTCAGCTGTAACAAGACATGGGTCAGATGTTATGGCATTCATTCCTCTCCTTTTCCAATAGAAAAGGATAATGTATAAACAAGGTCACCATTTCTCAAAGTAATCAGAACTCTGAAGACAATTTGTTTACCATCTAATTCTAGTTATGTCAAGTTCTATGAGACAAAGAACACCAATATAGGAGACTACCAACTGTTATCACTTACCTGAACATGAACCTCCTGGAAAATGGCTTTGAGCACTGAGACAGCCAGCCCTGGGGGCAGGGCCACACACAGGCTCTGGGGTAAAAGGGAAGATAAATGAATACAATGGGTCTCATTAGCTACAGTAGGAGCCCCAACATTCTGGCTTGGAAGGAAGTGCTGACAGTGAGTAATTTTCTCTATTTAAGTATTTCTCCACAGCTCCTTCCGACTGAGCAGAATTCCAGTTCCCCAAAGGGTGTTTTTTTTCCTTAGTATAGAAGATGGGTATTGTTTATTACAAGGTAAAGAGGAGCGCTCTCAAGGATGCCATTGCTACACAGGGTGATTTACTCTCTATAGCAAAACTGCAGTAGGACTGACTGATAGTGATTTACTCCTACATTTGGACTTTTGTCTTTTATTATGTGAAGGTTCAACCCCAAAAGGCAAGGAGAAAACTGTACAAGGGCTCCTGCAAACAGTTATGTAATAAAAAGGAAAACTCACAAGTGCTCTCAAGCCCTGAAGGACAGATGGAATCACAAGATGATGGTCCTTTAGTCGGTTCTCATAGAATAGGATCAGGTGTACCACTGCACAAACCAGATGTGGCTGTTAGTTTAGCAGGTGTGCGGAAGACCCTCCAGCTACATTCTTCCTGTGTGTCTATAAGGCCATTCCATTTTGGCTTTCACTACAAATTTTCTCCATCAAGAGAAACATCCCATACCTCTCCACATGATGGTGTCTTGACTTTGTGAGTTAGAAAAAACAGGGAAAGAGCTCTTAATTTTTTTTTAACTTATTTTTGTTTTATGTATCTGAGCGTATTGTATACATGCATGTAAGTGCACCCGTGTCATTTAATGCCCTTGGAGATCAGAAGAGAGTGTCGGATCTCCCTGGAACTGGAGTTACGGATGCTTGTTATCCCACCATGTGGGTGCTGGGATTCAAACCCAGGTCCTCTGCAAGAGCAGCCAGCATTTTTAACTGCTAAGCCATCTCTCCAGCCCCAAGAATTTTTTTTTCTTTTTTCCCTCATGCTGGAGACAGAAGGCAGCATTTCATGACCCCCCACCACTGCCTAAACCATCCTTTTCTTTTCTTTGAGAGTGTTTCACTACAGACAACATTCTGGAGTCAGTTTTCTCCTTCCACCATGGGTTCTGAGAATCAAACTCAAGTTGTCAGGCTTGCATGGCAAGTGCCTTTATCCACTGGGCCATCACAGCAACCCTCCACATTGTTTTTTTGTTTGTTTCTTTAAAGGTTTATTAAGTATGTGTATGAGTGCTTTGTCTACATGTCTGTATGTATACTGCATGCATGCAATGCCTACAGAAGCCAGAGGAGGGCATTAGATCCCCTGGAACTGGAGTTACAGAGAGTTGTGAGCCACCATATGCATGCTGGGAACTGAACCTGTGTCCTCTGCAAGAGCACCAAGAGCTCTTGACTATTGAGCCATCTCTCCAGCACTCCCATTTTTTTTTGTAAATATTTTATTATTTTTGTTTTATGTGTATGAATGTTTTGCCTGCATGTAGGTAAGTGCACCCATGTCGTGCAATGTCTGTGGAGGACAGAAGAGGGCATCGGATTCCCTGGAACTGGAGTTACAGACAGTTGTTAGCTGCCATGTGGGTGCTGGGATTCAAAACCCTGTCTTCTGCAAGAACAACCAGTGTTCTTAACCACTGAGCCATCTCTCCAGCCCCAGCACTCCCATTAAAAAAAAAATGCTGGTCATGGGGCCCACAAACTTTTCCGTAAAGGATCAGGTAGTAGGTATCACATGCTTATAGGACATGGACTCTGATGCTAGTACTCAAATCTATAACTAAAATACACTGAAAGAATTCTTCAAGACTCTATTTGAAATCCATGCATCTTGCATCTTAATTTTAATCATCTCTACCACAAGGAATGAAGACCTTGAACTAAGTGCTCAGATTAAACCCTTTTCCCTATATGTTGGCTAGAATAGTCATGGAAGTCTTGGCTTAGCAATTCAAGAAGACATTCCTACTAGTGATTCAAGTACCTTCCTTCTCCAGGAGCAAGGAGTGGCACTGGAGTAGCACCTGCGACAAAAGCTGAATCCCTCGTGCCCGAGTTCGAGGTTCTGGGTTCTCTAGAGAGGACCTGGGAGACAGTAGCATGGAGAGAATCTGTCATTATCTAGTTCAAATATTTAAAGGAATACTCTGCAGTTTGTCATACTCACCACCCAGGCAAAGAAGCAGAGCCACACCCTCTTAAAGAGCAAAAACTGGGCCGGGCGTGGTGGTGCATGCCTTTATTCCCAGGCAAAGGCAGGTAATGTCTGTGAGTTCCAGGACAGCTGAGGCCACAGGAAGACCCTGTCTCAAAAAAAAAAAAGCAAAAACTACCTAGGAGGTATTCCTGAGTTAATAGCACTACAGATTCTAGACTGAAACCCCCCAAACTCATTCTCAGTCTAATCTGGCATCATTAGAGGCTCACATGACACCACAACTGACAGAAGTTTTGGTCACCAGGCATCTCAAGCTGGCACCTACTGAGCATTGTGCTTAGTCTTTCTCCCCAGGGCTATGATTTTGACATCCCTCTGAAACAGAGCTAAGCAGCTACCCACAGAGTAGGCTGGTAGCTGCAGCTTCTTGTGAAGGAAGACAACAGATAGACTTTTGTAAATTAAAATAAAAATGTGTATACATATATGTATGGGTGTTCACATGGAGGCCAAAAGTCAATTTTGGCATCATTCCTCAGAAATTGTTCACCTTGCATTTCTTGAGAACGGTTTCTTACTGGTTGGCCTAGAGCGCTCTGATTAGGTTAGGCTGGCTGGCTGCTGAGTCTGGCCGTCTCCACCCATCCAGCACTGGTATTACAAGTATATGTCACCACATGTGGCTACTTTTTTTTTTTGGTCTTCTTGAGACAGGGTCTCCCTGTGATGGAATCAAACCAAGTCCCCCCAGATCAAAAGAAGAATATTCTGGGAAACTGTACAAGGAAGATGTAAAATTCTAACTACTGAGACAAAGCTGACCTTTTCATGCTCCATGCACAAAGCCGAAAATCACCCAAAACTTCCTCCCACTACTGCCGCTCCCCCTCCCACTTCTACTGCTTGTGGTTTGTGGTTTTTGCCTTTAAAAGAAGCCTGTAAGCTGAACTCTGGGCTGCTGCTCTCTCTCGAGTGAGGCAGGAGCCCGTCTGCGCAAACGATTAAATCCTCTTGCTTGTTGCACCTCCTGATCTGAGGACTGAGTTATCGGGGTGCGGCCTCCCGTGGATATTGGGTACCCCAGCCTGGGGGAGGTTCCTACATTTGGGGGCTCATCCGGGATTCGGTTGCCCTCAGACCCATTTCCTCATATCAGCAGGAGGTAAGGACGTCTTGTGATTTGTCTTGGTCTGAATGTCTGTCAGTTATTTTCTGTTCTGGGAACGTTGCGTCTGAACATTTGTGCCTGTGCAGGACCTGTAAGTCTGTATTCTGGAAACCAGTGGGAGTGGCAGACGTGCCCAGAGGCCCCTGGTTCTGACACTCTGGCCTTAGGGACCGGAGTGGTCTGGAGTGGGGAGGACGGCGTAGCTTTCCTTCCCCCGGGAGAAGAAGGGAGCTTGGCTTGGCTACTCCCCTCCCACTCTGTACTTTCAGTTTTCTGAGTTAAGGGGCACGCGCCAAGGAATTCTGTTCTGTGTATTGTCTGTGTCTGTGTTCAGGGATCCCAAAAGTGAGAATGGTGGGTGCAGCGTGTGTCTGAATGAAAGAAGGACTGGTCCACACAAATGTGATTTAATGTGGTGTGTATGCTTGATGGTTGTGTTAGTTACATAGAGGGAGGTCTGGTTTTGTAGTTTTCTCAATGCTCTTTATTTTAAACTTTCCTCTGTGTGCGTGCTTGATGATGTGTTAATATTTTAAAAGAAAAAGGTCTGGTTTTGTATTTTTCCCTACGCTCTCTATTTTAAGCCTTCCCTGCCTTTTTCTCTTTCCTTTCATTCTTGGTCCAAGTCTTCGTGAGGGACCGTTAAAGGCGAAAGAGAAACTGAGGTTTCTGATCAGGGCCACTCCCGGATGTAAGCCAAAGCCTCTTAGCCCTCTTAGCGGACCCCGACTGCCCACGGGTGGAGACAGGATGGTTTTTCTGTATCTCCCTTTTCCTCTCCATCTCTTTTTGACCACTGAAAAAGCCCCGCGGGCATGGGTCGAGTAAGTAAGAGCCATAGGGCGCTCGCCGCTAAAAGACTCCCATGAAAGGATAAGGGGGTCCCAGGTGTGAATCCCAGATAAATTCACGTCCCCCTCTGAAGAAAAACTGGGCAACGTTAGGTACTCGTCCATAAGCACACCCACTGGTCATTATTATTTGGAGTGGCATATTCTCACTTTCTTTCTTTCCTTCTTACTCTCCCCCTCTCCTGTCTGTGACCTCAACTATGGATCAATCGCTAACTACCCCTTTAAACTTAACTCTGGAACACTGGAAGGAGGTTGTGGAACGGGCCCATAACTTATCATTGGAGGTCCAGAAGAAGTGGTAGAGTCTCTGCTCCTCTGTATGGCCCTCTTTCGAAAAAAAGGATGGCCAAGGGATGGGACTTTTGACCTTGCTACTATCTTACAGGTTAAGGAATACATTTTCCACCCAAGACCACACGGACATCCGGACCAGGTGGCCTACATAGTCACCTGGGTAGACTTGGCCCGGAACCGCACATCTTGGGCACGGCCGTTCCTACCTCCTAGGGGAACTGAAGAGACTGACCAGGGGCCTCCTACCCTTTCTGCCCCCCTGAGTCTTACTTCTTCCCTCCTGCCCCTTCAGTCTGCCCCTGAGAAGAAGAAGCAAAAGCCAGTCCTCCCCGAGGACCAAGCTTCCCTAACCCTCCTTGATCCTGCACCTCCCTATCCACCTGCGTAGGCACGGTTTTTTCCCTCCGAACTGTAGGGGATCAGATCCAATACTGGCCTTTCTCAGCCTCAGATTTGTATAATTGGAAGACTCATAACCCTTCTTTTTCTCAGGACCCTCAGGCTTTAACTGCTTTAATTGAGTCTATTCTTCTTACCCACCAACCCACTTGGGAAGATTGCCAACAACTTCTCCAGGCACTCCTAACCACAGAGGAGAGACAGTGAGTCATCCTGGAAGCCCGGAAAAACATCCCCGGGCAGGATGGGAGACCTACTATGCTCCCAAATGAAATAGACGCAGGATTCCCTCTGACTAGACCCAACTGGGACCCTGAAACCGTGGCAGGTAGGGAGTGTCTCCGTCTTTATCGCCAGACTCTGTTAGCGGGTCTCAAAGGGGCTGGAAGGTGCCCGACCAATTTGGCAAAGGTACGTGCTATAACCCAAGGAAAAAATGAAACCCCCGCAGGGTTTCTAGAATGCTTGATAGAGGGATATCGGATGTACACCCCTTTTGATCCCACAGCCCAGGAGCGTCAGGCAGATCTTATTATGGCCTTTATAGGACAATCAGCTCCTGACATTCGTGGTAAGCTCCAATGGCTGGAGGGCCTACAGGGGTACTCCTTACAGGATTTAGTAAGAGAAGCTGAAAGAATCTATAATAAGCGAGAAACTTTAGAAGAAAGAGAGGACAGAATCAGAAAAGAGCAGGAAGCTAGAGAAGATAAAAGAGAGAAAAAGAGAAATAATTAGTCAAATTTTGGCCACAGTAGTTCAGGGAACAGGACCAGGACCAGGTAGGAACCTGGGAGACAAGAGAAGGCCCCGAGTGGATAAAGACCAGTGTGCCTATTGCAAGGAGAGAGGACATTGGGCTCGAGAATGTCCGAAGAAGCTGAACAGACTTCAAAAGAAAACAACCCCAGTCCTGACTCTAGGGGACTAGGGAAGTCGGGGCCAGGAGCT